GTTTGTTGCTGAAGGGCTGTGGTGTTTCGAGTCGAAGAAAACTGGAGATTATCACGAAGAAATGAACGGTGAATCTTTCGAACAGTGGTTTTCCAAAGTTCTACCCCATCTGGAGGATAATGCTGTGATTGTAATGGACAATGCACCTTATCATTCGCGACGGTTAGAGAAGATTCCGACAACGTCTTCAAAGAAGGTTGAAATCCAAAATTGGCTGCGATTAAAGAATATTAGCTTTGAAAGCTCAATGCTAATAGTACAGCTACTAAAAATTGTAGATGAGATGGCAGCAGGCCAAAACAGAATTGTCCTTGGCCTATCTCCATACCACTGCGAGCTCAATCCCATTGAGTTAATATGGGCGGATGTGAAGAATTTTGTAGCTCAGCATAACACCACGTTCAAATTTACATATCTCAAAGTACTTTTTGATGAGGCTTTAAAAAGAGTCACAGCGGAGAAATGGGAGAAGTGTGTTCGGCATGTGATATCGGAAGTCGAGACTAAGATGTGGAAGCTTGATAACATAATAGAGGCACAAATCGAGCCACTGATAATTCAGATTGGTGAGGATGACACTACAGATGAAGAGACAAATTCATCCAGTTGAATAATTTTGATTAATATCCCTTTTGATTTTACATAAAATAAAAAGTATCAGTAAAGAAATAATTATGTCTCTTTTCATATAATGCTTGAGTGCGCTGTGAAAAATCAAATGAAAATCTTTTTATATTACACATATTATCTGCATTTTTCCCGTTAAACTACAAAACTTGTGCATTTCACTTGTTATTATAAAAAGTTTTCCTAAGTATGATATAGCATTTGCGATCAACAAAATGTTGGTTCTGAATATGGCCCTGGCCAATTCTTGGGATTTTCAATATCACGTGCGTAGGGAATGTCAATGTTTACATCCACTCTATCTTGGATTTGAATTTGCTTTAGATACATGGAAGCATATATTGATTCTAAGGCCATATTGGCGGACTTCATTGTTGACTTATTGTTGAATTATTGGAATACCTAGGTTGAATACCCTATATTATTTTGAATGTAAAAACCATACTTAGATAATATGATCTGTTTGAGATTGATAACCGCTGAAGAGAATCGAGCATAGTCTTTGCATCTCAAAATTATATGCATACCTGTTTTGCAGTTTTTCTAATTGACTTAACTTTGATTTAGAAGATACAATAATGTAGCACAGACGTCAAAATGTGGCTGAATTATACAGTTGTTAATTGTGACTTTTGAGTTAATACCAAGATGTGGGATCAATCTTGAAAATAGGAATAATTTTTTCAAGATTTTTTGTATAATAATAATCATCATGCCTATCATCAATCAATAAAGGTACTTACCTTACAAATGAAGTTGGGATAATCTTTTCTCCATGTTCTGTTCCACATCGAAATGGTTCAAGAGGCGTTGAGGGTAGAGCGAAATTGTAAATTCTGTTATACATATCTATGTAATTATTTGAATATGAAGGAAAACACTTTCTCTTGAGGCATTCGTCTTTAGCAGGTGTTAATTTCTGTTCTTTATATTCAGCCCAATTTTTTGGATACAATGATTTTTTATGAACAGGAGATGACCTTCTACGATTTTTTCTGCCCTGATCTTCTGGGGAGACCGATTTTCGACTGATAGAATCTGTGCGCCGATAATTGCGACTCTTGATCTCCCTTCGTTTGAAACGTTTCGCCCGTTCTGTCAATAAATAATATCACTACATATTTGAAGATAAGTTGAAAGAGGTATATTTTCAGGGAAAATTAATTTTTGGGAAAGGTTTTGGCTTTCTGCTACTCCATCTTTGTAAGTTTTCCGCCTTTTTTTGTATAAAGTTAGAGAAGTAGAAAGCCAAAAACCATTCTTTACCACATTTGAAAATATTTAATGAACCACCATATTCAATTTTCGAAACGTGAATTATACATACCTGAGGATAAGGATCTGGACCGAGGTCTCAAACTGACAGAACTCATTGTTCTTATAGCTTCAGCAACTAGTTGTTTTTTCAGGATTTCTTCAACTTCTTTTTTCTTTATATCTTCAATTTCCTGAATTACAATTTTTGCTTTTTCGTCAGGATATAGAACTGAAAAAATGTGTCGAAAAAATATTTCTGTGAAATTCTGCATAAGAGAAACGGAAATGTGTTACAAATCAAAAAGGCTACCTGCTAGCTATATATCTCTGAATTTAAAATTTTGTACATAATATAGTATGTTTGGGAAAAATTATTTTTCAGAAACAATAAACGAATGATAGAAATGGAATTAGGGCAGAAAAGGAATACTTCTTCATGAAACGTGCGTTGATATACTACTATTTACACAAGCAACTTAATTTAAAAACCTGCTGGGAAAACAAAAGACCTCTGTTGAGCTAGCAGAACCACTTTGAATTTTTATATTTATTTTTAGGTTAATTTTATAGACTATTCCAGAATGTTTTGTTCTTCATTTAGTGAAGATATTGTGGGTTCTGCTAGCTTTTAGGCTCCTATTGCCCTCTATCGCCGATTTTTAATGAGTTATTTTTTTTAATCTCTGGGTTCTGCTACCTAACTGTTAAGATGGCAGAACCAGATCGAAATCCTTCACTTTTTGCAAAATTTGAACTTGTAATAATTGATAATGAATACTTATTGCCTCTTGTTTGAATTGAATACTGGGGTAATTAACTCAGAGACCAGCGATAGTAAAAACCGGAAATAATTTTTTCAAAAAATTCTTCAAGGAATAATTTTTGCTTACCACTATGGTAAAAAAGTGGGAGGAGAAATGAATAAGCTTGGTTCTTGAAAGAAGCATGTAGCTCTCTCACAAAATTCTTATAACAAAGAGTTATTTCAAAGTTTCCTGACGTTTCTGTGGAAAATAACTTTGACACAGTTATCTTCGGCCGTGAAAGTTTACATTCTTTGAGAATGATATACTGTTGGTAAAATTATTTGAAAGTGTAAACAAGCAGCCAACTAACCTTTCTTGGATTTTTTCGACACATTTTTCTCAGGCTTATCCTCACTGTCAACCTTTTCATCTTTTGAAGTTGTCTTATTGGTTGTCTGCTTGGTATATGCCTGTAGCCTCTTTTTTGCAAGTGCAACATTTTTGAAACTTGACTTGATAGGAGTATCATTTTTACTCTCATTTTCTTCCACAACAGGATCAGGATATTCTGCAGACAACTGAGTACTGTCCGCAGTGTTATCTTCTTCACCTTCACTCCAATGCGATGCTATATATTGAGAATTTTGAGAGTTGTCAAAGTCAGGGCCTTCGACTACCCATTCGGAGTACCAGTTGTCCATTTTCAAGTATGTAACCTCATTTTTTCTTCAAGAGAACTAAAATTATAATATTGATATCTTAACGCTATCGAATACACCTGAAAAACGCTTACCGAATTCTCTTGATTAAATAAAATTGCAAAAGTGGAGTGTGATGAAATTGTATTTTATCACCATGTAAGAAATATTCACTTATGCCTAGCAAAATCTAAAGATAATTGAAAAAGGTACTGAAGCAAATTATTCAATTACAAGCAATATAATCAATTGAAGAATTCCATATTCATTTACTTCACATTTTATTTGAATTATTATTATCTATAAATTGGTTTATTAATAAATACTAGGTAAAACCAATTCACCAGAAAGTCACTTCCACCTAGATGTCAATTGTCAATCAATCAATATTTGGTGATATTTTAGGCCGATTTCAAGCGACCAATGTCTCCACTCACCATAGGCGAATAAGGCCTATGATGACCATAGACTAACAACCAGAGTATAGTATATACGAAGTCAATTCTAATGGCATAAAAGCCAAACACGTAGGCAGTTTCTTTGTATGGCACGGACGGCGTGGTATAATTTGTAATCTGATTCAGGGTATTATCCTAATATATAAATGTTTCAATATAGTACATCTTTGTATAGTCCTAATTTCATTCTCAAATACATCATTATCGAGAAAGTCAATTTTTCAGATCGGTATGGTTTGAAAATATTTGTTCTCAATGTGGAACTGGAAGATCCATACAAAATGAAATTTCAGTTTCAACTTGATAAACGCCATTTTTCAAATTGATAATTTCAATCTGCAAGTTTTTTGTAGAAAAAATAAAAACAAACAATTTGATCTTTTCTAGATAATATTCCTTAATTATACAACCACGTTGAAAATTAACCGCTGATGATATCAAATGCCAATTGAGAACCGAGATCGACTTAAAAAGCATATGGAATATGATGGCATGAATGCATGCTCTCCGTGAAACACTGTAATGTGTTATGTTTGTCACACTAAACAATAGCGGCGAAAAATGCATAAAAAGCGGAGTTCAAAAATCTTGTTCAAAGAAAAAGTTTGTGCTCTTCCACTCAACCAGTAGTTTTTTGTTTGTGCAGTTGGCTAACTTGATAATGTTAACATCACTAAACAGTTTTGACGTTTTGCTTAACCTTAAAAATTAGTTAAAAAAGGGCAAAGTTCAAAAAATATTTTTCTTTCGTTTTGTATTATCCAAAAAGTGTGTTATTTCATTGTCATTTTCCTTAACGCAGATAAATATGTCTTGGGTTACAAATTATCCCTTCACCTTATTGCAAAAGTTTTGTATAAATGTAATCAAATGTGGTCCAATTCCAAGTCATCTAGCCTTCATTATGGATGGAAATCGTAGATATGCTACGAAAACCAACGTGAAAAAGGCAGAGGGGCATTCAAAAGGATTCGAGAAATTAGGTGAATGTCTTCAATGGTGCAGGGAGTTGGGCATAAGGGAAGTTACCGTTTATGCCTTCAGTATAGAGAATTTCAAACGCAGTAAGGAAGAGGTTGGTTCAAAATAAAATACGAGGAAAATGCTCAATTTAACGGCTAACTATGAATCTGAAGTCGTATCTTGGCACTTCAGTCTACTTTCAAGATACGGCCAGTCAAAACTTGAAAATGTGAAAAAATCATACTTCAAGAACTTTTGGTGATAAAAACTCGTAAAATGGCACCTATTTTTCACTATTACATGGTGGGGACTTTCATTCGACCATGGGACTTTCATTTGAACATCTCAAATATTCTATATTACAGAAGTCAAAGTCAAAAAATGAAAGATATGTTGCCAAATTTCAAAAATTTTTCTAGCAAGACAAAAGGATTGTCACTTTCTAAAAGTTTTGTTCTTATGCATTATTGTGTAAATGGCATTTTCTTGTCGGTTCAGCCTTCTTTCAAATAAATCAATTATTACATAAAGTAACTTTCTAAAATATACAATTTTTTTAATACATAGAACGTCTGTCTCTTCAAAAGTAGATCAGAGCGCCAAGTCTTGAGACATCAGAATCGTTATCATCTGTGCCTGCACAAGATATTGAAATGAATGTTTACCAAATATGAAAAGAAAAATACTCAAAATAAATATTTCAGGTAGACACTTTAATGCAATTGGCAAGAGAGAAATTTCAAAAAGTATTTGAAGAAAAGGACAAGCTAAAGGAAGAAGGCGTCTGCATTAGAGTTATAGGAAACTTGTCGTTGCTCCCACAAGATATAAGGAAACTCATTGCTGAAGCAATGCTGCTCACGAAAGACAATAATAAGTCGATATTGAATGTAGCATTCTCATACACTTCCAGTGATGAAATAACTAACAGCATCAAAGAAATAGTGGACGGGGTTAATCAAAATTTGATCGACGTTGAAGATATCACAGAAGAACTAATATCTAATTGTTTATACACACATTCAAGTAGTAATCCTGAAGTTTTAATAAGAACTTCAGGTGAAGTAAGACTAAGTGATTTCCTTCTGTGGCAGGTTTCGGAGTCTGAAATTTTTTTCACAGACGTATTGTGGCCAGAATTTTGCATTTGGCATTTGTTAGGTTGTGTTTTCAAGTACCAGAGGTCTTATAACTATTTGAAGAAATTTGATTACCAGTATAAAATTGAAAAACCTTTGACTAAAAAAGTACAGTCATTTGTGGATCAACTGGCTAAAAAGAGGTTTGAACAGTTAGAGCTCTATGCAAAATCATAGCTGACTGAAATCAAAAGTATTGAACCGTCTTTCTTCATTTGATGAATGTGCATTCCAACTCACAATAGGTTTTATAGGGTGAGAATATTGGTATCTCCAAGCTACTAATACATTTGTAAAGAATAGGTATGTATTTCTCAATAAGAGTTTGGACCTTTCCAGTTGTTGCCAAAAGTTACAGTAATTTGAGTTGTGTTACTTCTATAATCTTTAATTCAGTTATATGCAGGAACACAACTGCTATAAAAATTGCTGTAATTTCCATGTCTTCCGAAGGTAGGTTCAAACTCCAATGGAATCATCACAAAAATAACCCAAAGGATATCATATTTATTAAGAAACTTACAGTTTATATAAGAGAAAATGTCAGAACATTTTAGGAATTTTATTATAAAAGATGGATAAAACCTTGGTATAATCCCTGATTTGATTTTTTGTCAAAACAAAGAAATGGTTTGATTAGTCTTGCGTACGTTTCGAGTAGACAAATAGTGAATCTATTGGATCAATCAATGGACTCGGCAGTATATTTAAAACTGGGTTTAACGATTAAGTGAGGCGAATGTAACATAATGTTAAAACAAAGTGTCGGACCAAAGTGCGTTCATTTTAAATTCCACTCCGCATAAGCAACAACTTATCCGTGACTCAAGACAGAGTTATGTTTCTTATTTTCAACAGTTGACAGTTACGAATTCTATGCCAGTTTTTGAAAGTTTTCTTGTTTGGTTAGGCATTAAAGTGTGTCATCTATGAAATGATGCACTCCTGCATTGCCATACTCAATCTACAAATTCAGGTAAAGAATTCATCTGTGGTGTGCTATATTGTACTATTTGTCTTTAACATCCTAATGCCCTTTTTTTATCTCTACACATACAGAAGGGAAGGTTACATAACAGTAGTCAAAATAACAATACCTATTGAGGTATCGAGCATTTATGAGAGTGAAATGCCTATAAGAAAGGTAATAATCCAGATCAGTGAAGATTGGCACCTTTTCTCAGGAGCTAATCCATAAGCAAACAAAAAGCAAGATCCAGACAATGAGCTGGCTTTTTCCAAAATGTGTTCATACCACTAGTCAGAAACAACTCCTTGTCATTTTCTTCAAATTCTGTTCCAGAAGATTATTCACATTCGTTTCTTATGGATATACCACGATACCTTACTTTTGGAAAACAGAATTTATACTTTTGTACCAGCACTAGAAGTTGATTATATCAATAATATTAACAGATTGACATCCTTATCAACAATAAAGGTATTACATGAATCAGCCTGTTCAGTATCAAATTTAAGTTTATCTTTAAAATTAACTGAATCTTGTTTTGGAGTAAACAAAGGAATCTTATTTAGTTGAATATAGCACATTTGATGTACAACACATCAAAGATGTGATTCAGTTCAATCCTGTTCATAGAATTGTTTATGACTCTAAACTCTTATAGATTTTGGTCAATTTTGTATACACTTGAATTGATGTAATCGTACAACCTGCTGGTGTACTGGAGTCAGCATTATGTCATGTAGTGTCCATTGTAAATGGTCCCACTTTCATTCGCAGGGCATATAGATCATCAAAAAAATGCTATATATTGTCTGTTGCGTAAATACTTATGTCCAAACATTCCAGAAGAGAGTTGATGGAATTATTATTAGATTTTCATCATGAATTATATTGAGGAAGTTTGATCTCTAATGAATATTTCATCAACTTTCCACAGTCAAGATTTTCAGTGACAATCTTGATTGCAATATGATTATGACAGAAGTGAGTGCTCTGTGTCAAGAATCTGGAAATATAACCATTAAATGTAGCCATACAATTTGTTTTTGTAAAAAATCCAACATGTAAAATAATTTAATAGTTTTTATGCATCTTTCACTCTTTTAGATGCTTCACTAGATTTAATATTGTAAATAGTAAATCTGAAGTATTTTCAGTACATTCCAAATGGTAACCAAAACATTATTTCAATGATGAAATTCACATTTGATTATTCATTTTTATATTCATACAAATTCCAGTGTTTATATATAGTGACAGTATGGAATTAAGGAATTTGTACGGACTAAAATAATCTTATATTTTCCTTTCTCAGGTGGGTCACAAAGGAAATGGCAACTATTCAACCTTTCAGTAAAACAAATATTTTCGAAATATGACCTGTAGAACTTTGGAATCTAAATTATAGGTTTATGTTTATTATTATTGATATTTTATCCGTGTATTTGTACATTATTTATTTATTGTTATGGATGAATAATCATATATATATATATTTGAACAAAAAAATATTGTTTCATCATCTTTACAGAAATAAATGACATCCATTCGTGGTTTCAATTTTTGAAATATAACACAAAGATCGAAGCAGACTGCAGTCAATCTACTTGAATAATTTCAGCATGATCCTACTACTGGATGAATGAGAAACATCTGCGAGAGGTGCATACGACATGCTCCGGTTTACGTGAAAACACCTTACCCCTTGCCTCTAATGTGAACCTACAACTTTGTAAGTATGTGTGGCATATACCCGCTAGAAAAAAACAACCAACCCAGCTAATGGCGCGCAGAAAGCTGAAACAAAGCATCAGGCACCTGTTTGGTACTCCAGGTTCCATTCGACCACGATCTAATAGCCCAGATTTTGTTATCTCCAACACCATACTTGTTAAATGAAATAGGGCTAATTCTTTTCCAACAAATTGATGGATATTGCCGTTACTACGTGGTTAGTATATCATCACGAGGAAATTTAAAGTCTCATTTTTCATAATTCTTTTTCACTTAGTTCCGAGAGAATGAAAGTCACTTTTCAGATCTTTTTTAGTAATATAGAATGTTTGGTACAAAAGTTATTATTGACCTGTTGTTTTTTACACCATATGATTGTAAAATCTGTAATGTATATCTGATATCAATTAGTGCATTATTTTCAAAAGTGAGGTTTGTTCCCAAATTGAACATTTTTCATGAAAAAACTGAATTTTGCAAAACCCACTTATTAATATATCTTTATACGTCAGTGTTTCACAAATAAATAAAACTAAAACAAATTCAGTTGACGTAGGTCTTTGAACATCATAAAAGTATGTAGGCACAAATTACAGAATTTTTATTTTTCTACTTGAACGGAAGGAATGCTTTTCAACTGACGAAAGGAATGGCAAAAACTATCAGAATAACTAACCACATCAATTCAAAGTCAGAATAACAAATGATTAAACAGCCAATAAAACTCAATTTTATTTGACAATAGAAGTATAACAATACAGAGAAGTCAAGAAAATGTTGGTTAATATTGCGTTACAGTACATGTAATTTACCCTAAATATCAACCACAGGAATGTAAACCTATACAACTATATACAGAAATATTTATAAAATTTTATAGAACCAGGTCCTAACGCATAATCTGAGATAATTCAAAATACCTTATTGTAAAACAATATCATAAAATACTATTGGCATAGATAATACTGGAAATATTAGCTGAAATTATGCCTTTCCTGCAACAGGCGTGGCAGATTTTGGTCCTGAATCAGTTCCTTGTTCTTTTTCAAGTTGCCTGCCAAGATATTCCCAGTTGTGAACCATAAGTTTCTGTACTGCCAAAAGAGCTTCGTAACGAACATTGGGGTCTTCATGACCTAACAATTGCATTACCAATTGTTTACCACCCAACTGTTCAATAACACTGCAAAACAAAGTCAAGAATAATATTTCTTTTCTCAAAGGTGTGCCTTATATAAGTTCATCAAAATCACAATAAAACAAAAAACGATAAGACAGATGCATAGACGGAATTGGTTTTCTTCAGTTCAAAACTTTTTTTATGTTCTATGATTCCCGTTTTGAAATTCCTTGAAGTCCTTTTCCATATAAACTTTTGGGCATATTCCACATGTTAATTTGTACACCCCTAATTTGTTATCTGGTTAATGTAAGTAAGGTTGACGACATCTCCCTTTACGAAGACGCCATCTATGGGATCGTCAGATAACTCGATCCTCAAATATCAAAAATAAACTAGGTTCCCCAAGGCGGTCAGTTGCAAAGCCAAGCTACGACCGCTGACTAGATTCGTTCTTTGTCTTTCAATACAGCTTTCACTGCAAGGCAACTAGTTGTTTGGGCCTTCAGTTTTCAGCTAGTTAATGGACAAAGAGTACAAATCAAGGGTCTACAAACTAACATGTGGATCGTGCCCAAAAGTTTTAAAGAACAATTTATTCAATAAGTATATTATAGGTTGATTAGTGGTCCATTGATGGAATTTTTACCAAATTTCAAATATTTTGGATAATGTTGGTAACAAAAAACAGGTCTAAAATTGGATGGATCACCAGCTTTTTAATGTAGAGAAATGCCTACTGCCTTTTTTTGAAAATTATGGAAATACTAGTACTATGTTGCTGTATCGCTGCTGTTCCAATGTTTTATCAGAATCAACGAACTTAGGCGTGCGCAGCGTTATAACACAGTGCTTTCAAAAAATTGTTCTACAGCGCTATCTAGTGGCGAGTTACAGAAAAATTGATAGCCTAAAAACCTCTATAAAAAATTACTGATACATGTCAAGTTTCATCACGATCAGTTGAGCGATGTAAAAGTTCATCACTTACCAACCAACTAACCAACAAACATCCATTTTTATATATAAGATACTTGTAGAAAAGGCCCTGTTCACTAATTAAATAAACTTCAGTGAAGCAGTCAAGACTGTCATATATTTTCAGTGATTCATCATCCACAATAGAAGTTTTTTGTTCTTCATAATTTTTTTCAGTTCAGTTTTCAGTTTGTCTCTTTCAAGGAAAAAGAATGTGTATGATGTGAAAACATTAATTAAAGTACTTTTTTAAAGTACTTTCCAAAAAATTAATCTCTTCTAAAAATATACCCCTTTCAATTTGAAGTTGTATCTCATTCTCCAAATTTCAGTATCTGAATATTTGGAGCGTTAACATGCAAATTCTTAAAAAAATTCTATACATGATTGTATGATCAATAATACAGTTTGGGATGATGGAGTTTATGTCTGAACTGAAAGCAGGTCAGATTGAAGTACGATAAAATCAGAAGAACTAGAAAAACTCACTGTTTTCCACGAGGATAGTGGCGAACATATTCTCCAATATCAAAACTGGCTACGCTCAATACCAGAGCATCTTTGCTGGTTTCCAACAGATGAATAAGAATGCGGAGCAATTCATAGTTCTTCTCGTTGAGGCGCTGTGCGTTTTCTCTCCAGAACTTGCTTTTGTGGACAGGAGACCATTCCAAACGGCCAGACTTGACCTGAAATCAAAGCAAAATTTCTGTTATTGTTTGAATATAATGAGGATAAGTTAGAATGTGTAGAATGCAGTATACTCCGATTTTGATACAATACAAAAATGTTCTCGAATCATCACTTTTCGGGGTCTGTTCTTTGCTTTTGCGTAACCAAAGCGATACTTTTTTTGATTGGATCGTTTATTGTGATGAAAAGTGGATCCTCTATGGCAACAGGAGACATTTAAGACAATAGTTGGTCTCCAATGAGCCACCCAGACACTTCCCAAAGGCGAAAACCCACCAAAAAAAGACCATGGTTACTGTATGGTGGCCAGCGGCTGGTGTGATTCACTATAACTTTATGCAACCGGACCAAACCATCACAGCAAAATCGTATTGTGAAAAAAAATCGACGAAATGTACAAAAGAGATCCGATTAAAAGAATTGAACGTCTGAGTTCATCCTCAGCCACCATACTCCCCATACCTCTCGCCAATTGACAATCTTTTCAAGAACTCCGATTACTATGTCACAGGTAGAACCTTCGCCAAGCAGGACCAGGCAGAAACGTCCTTTGTCGATTTTATCGAATCCCGAGCGATAATTTTTATGCCGACGGAATTATTCGGCTTCTGTTGCATTGCAAAAGTGCACTGACTTAAATGACGCTTATTTCGATTGAATTGAATAAGTATTCACCGAAATATTTCAGTTCGAAGTAGCCTCTGAAACAACCTTATACTTCTAAAAAAACTGAATTTGCCTGAAAGAACTTTCACTGGAATCATTATGTTCTCTATCTATACCTACTGACTCACCTCAGTTGAATATTCATCGAAGGAACTAAGATCCTGAACAGAACTTTGCAACTTCTCTGTCAAAAACTCCACATCGCCGGTAACATCTTCATCGTCAAACTTACGTTGCTCTAAAATAGTTAATTGTTTCAAAACCTGAAAATAACAATACTGACAATGAAGGTATTCTGCAAGGTTCGGTATCCAGCCCCACGCCTTCCATAAGATACACATCAATACGTTCCTTACCTTACACTGTACCATAGCGATGCAGTGCTCTTTGGCTACCTGTTGATCTTCAGGCTTTTCTATCAAATTCCTGAACACGGCCAGGATGATCCTGGTTACTTTTTCTTTGACGGAGTCGCTCAAAATGTCCGCCAAGATAGGGATGACGTTGAACTTGTTCATTTTCTCGGCCAACAGAGGATTGAAGGTCAACACCCACAGACAGAAGATGAGTTGATACTGTACTTGGAAATTGACTCGACCAGACAGTACCGATAGGAGGGTGGAAATTCCATCAACGGAGACAAAGGCAAAGCGGTATTCGTCGATGCGGAGCATCATTTGTAGGCATCGGGCAACGGACTGAATGTACTCATTATTCTGAAGAACAAAATTATCTTTCGGGTCATGTATTGAAAAAGCACGGAGTGCAACAGACAAAAACTAACCTAATGGATTTATGGAAATGATTTGTTATTAGATGAGTTAGTTCCGTTTCATAAATCAATTGTCCAAATTTATACAAAGGACTGTCACTATGATTCAAATTAATGATTTCCATTAATAATGTACTGAATAAGAAATAAGTTTCGATTATAACTTGAATTTTTAAAATGTAGTGAAAACTATGTGTCTAGTTTTAAAAAATATAGATCTGGACTCTTTTTTTAACGATAAAAAAGTAGTCTTTTATTTACAAAATAAAAAATATTTCAACGGTACAACTTTTTGTCATCTTTCAGGCAAAAGGCTGATTCCTCATCGAAACAATTTTTTATTCTTTGTCACAAACCTACTTTTTCAAACCACTTCTAGGGTTGGAATTGTTCTTCAGCCAAAGTGTTGCTCTTTGAACAAAAAGGTAATATTCAAAGAAAGCAATGTCTGATGAATAAACCAAGTGAAAGCTCTCATCCCCTTTTTCATAATACAGGGCTATTCAAATTCGTTTCTGTATATGGGGATCCCGTAAACGATAAAAGATAGAGTGTCGGTTAAATTGTGGCAAAGTTGCGTATTTTAGAGACCTATTCAATGATGTAAAAAATTCGAATATTGCTCTTTTGGTTCTGGGGATATACAGGAAAAACCAAAAAATCCCAAATTATTTTTTTGTCTATATCTTCTTTACTCGCAGACATATTGAAAATCAGTTCACATTTTGCTATTGACACTTGATGTGGGCTCTCAGAATATATTCATGAATCTTTTATACAGGGTGTCATCTGACTTGGGTCACCCCCCATCTTTGAATTTTTAAATACCGGCCTGTATTTTTTGTTGTAGTTTCACTTCATACTGAGAAATTAAATTCAATTTTATATTTCGGGATGTTTCGGTAATATTCGATTATAATTGTGTGAATTATTCCCTTTTAAATTACGGCTCTGGGAATTGGTTGACTGAGTTGAATAAAAACAAAAAATACAGGTCCGTATTTGAAAATTCCAAGATGGGGATGGCCCAAATCAGATGACACCCTGTATAAAAAAATCATGAATATATTCAGAGAGCCCACATCAAGTGCCAATTGCAAAATGTGGACAGATTTTCAATATGTCTGCGAATAAAGAAGATATAGGCAAAAAAATAATTTGCGATTTTTTTGGTTTGTCCTGTATATCTCCAGAACCAAAAGAGCTATATTCGATTTCGTTACATCATTGAATAGGTCTCTAAAATACGCAACTTTGCCGTAATTTAACCGACACTCGTATCTCTTATCGTTTACGAGATCCCCATGTACCGACGCGAATTTGAATAGCCCTGCATATCTCAAATTCCATATTCAATCAAATATACAACCTGAGCTTGGTAATGATGGATCTGATTAAATTAACTATACCAAAAAGATTAGGAGCTCTGGTCCCATCTAGTTGCCTTGCAGTGAAAGCTACAGATAGAAAGTGATTTCTTATTCAGCGGTCGATGTTTAAGCTTGGCTTTGCATCAATCCCCCGCGGGAATGCCTGCTCGTCATGGAAAAATAAACAAGATATAAGTTTTCTGCCGATTCCATAGGTTGATTCATCAACAGTTTATGAACTGAAAAGTTTTTTGGATTGTGGCCCTAATACTGTAGGAGTGCCAAATTTGGCAAGGTTTAACATAACCTCACAAAATGAATATATGGAACAATAATTTTTCTCAAATCTATAATTTATCTCCTGCATTTTAAATACCAGCAAAAAATAAGTGGTGAAGCATTCTTGAACATCTTAAAATGGGATTCCATATTCGGTGAGGTTCAAAGTTCTTCTTTTCTGTTTCGTGTTTTTGAACAGAATTCTGTGGTTTCCTTCACTGGTGGTGATTCTGATCGAAAACACAAAGCTCATTGCCCCCAACCAGGGATACCATAGCCGACTCGCACGAATATGGAATCTCATGCTAAGAAGTTCAAGACAAAAAACATCATAACGGCAAGTAGAAAAGGGACAAGGAATGTTATCGACAATTTACCTAATCCAGGTACATTAATTAGCACATCAAACTACCTGAATCAACATAAATATGCTTCACGCAGTCGAAATATCTAGTCATTGGAGATAGACTCAAGATATATGAACCTCTGAAGAAGCCGGCCTCGGGTCAGCGAAACGTCAGGAAGAAATTCCAAAAATCGACGAATAAAAATAGTGACACTGAAAACCTCAGCCGCGAAAGCCGTAACCATTTTGTCAACTATGTATTTACAAAAACAATGATTATTTTCAACTTTTCTTTTATGTTCACTTTTAAACTAAGGTTTGTGATAAGAACATGTTTCTTCAAACAATAAAGCAATCAATCAACAACATTTTAGAAAAAAGGTTTAAGCATGAATCGTTTTTAAACAAAAATAGGATAACACCTGAACAAGTTACACTTGAATTGAACAATCATTAATTCCAAATTCAATAACATACGCTTTCTCATATCATGAACGATTTTTAATGTCTCTAATATTTCCGTTACTTTCAGGTGTATTTCTAATTGTAAAGTTTGGAACTGACGAACGATATATCTCAATGGATGATATGGATATAAAACTAATATTAGAATTTTAATGAGAAAATATTGTTATTAAAAGTTAATATATTCCGTGCAAAAAATCTCGAAACACGTGTGGCATGCATAGGCAAAACGCTGCAAAAATAACGCAGAGAATTCAAGTAAATAATAATATTTCAGACACCCTTTATTCATCCTATAATTATTTTAGATTATTTTCTTCGTAATATTTCACCTGCTTGCTACATTAAATTAACTGTTAAGAATTGGGAATTTCCTTGAATATCTATGCCTTACTTTACAGTTTTTTGATTTATGGCAGACTGAAACTAATTCACTCACCTGATAAATATAGAAAAATCAAAGATAATTAATAAAACATGCTTACATGCACAGCGTTGGTACGAATATGTAGATACAAGCGAGTATATAAATCTATAGTCGAACCATATACAAAAAAAGGAACATATTGTTACATCCATTCTCGAATGAGTTTTTGTAAAGAAGATATGACTTTTGAAACATCTATTGCATTGCATTATTCAAGCCTGTAACAATATATTACTATACAGTGCCATCCCCAAAGTATGCACCATATGGGAAATTTATTTATTAACGGTTATTGGATAAAAAGTTATTTTTGATAAAAGTTTGTGCATCCCCTAAAACTAAACGTGCACCAACAAAATACAGTAAAACACACGTAATATACGAGGAGCCTTCAAATATTTGAATTTGAAAAATTTCGGGAAATGTGTGAAGTTTTAATTTTTTTCCCATTTTTTTTAAACGGGGACTACGAAAAAAAATTTGCTAAAATGATAAATAGGCAGAATCCTGTATACAAAGGTTTATTTCAAAAGCCTGTCAGGTTAAGGAAATCACGTGACCTATTTTGTAGACGCCATTTGACATCATTTCTTAAGCAAAATCTACTGCCAAAATCAAATTTCACATAAAACGGACTTTATCGGTGACACTGTGTAAACCCACCCGAGTTTGGAATTTGCACTTCCAGTTTGAGTGTGTGTGAACGAATGATAACTCTCTCACAACGAATCATGTGAAAATAAGCATATGATAGTGAACAACTTTGTCAGATGTACAAGTATTTCGAAAGCATAGGTCAGTGACATGTCTAATATACTTTTATTCAATCAACCGAGTGGTTCATGTATTTTATGGTGAATGAGAGTGGTATGTATCAACAGGAGCCTATGAATAAGATTTGTTGGAACAGAAAATNTCATTATTGAATTTATTCAAATTTGAATAATAAACTGACTAGATTTTATTTTAAGTGGTTTGTATTCTTTAGAAAACATTTGTTTACTTTCAGACTTATTAAAATTTGACTATTCGACCGACTAGATTTTGTTTTAAGGGCCGTGTATATCTTTATGACGTTTACTTACTTTTGCATTTGTTAAAATTTGATTATCGTGTTGGTTGGTTGATATTGTTTGGTTTTGTTTTGGTAGCTTGTAAGATGGTAAAATTTGTAAATCCCATGTTTTTGTGTGCACAATGCACATGTAAAAACCCCTTAGTCTATACCATGTGAGTGACAAAGATAGATATTTCGGTTGCCTACAAAGATTAAACCATAAAATCAGGAGGGCAACTCTATATTTTTGAATATTGCTGGAGTTTTATCCCAACAGCAAACCGTTATTTTCAACCCCTCGACACGTGTTTTAATCACCGAGTGATTGATAAATATACATGTCTCTATGTAGACCACGTTTATCCTAATATATGAATAATGGTTACCGTTGATGATCAAAAATGACCAATTGTTTTTAATGTTAACACATCAACATAAAAAAAAAGAAAACGACATTCCTGAGTCATAAATTTCAGAACTTACAGTTGAACATCATCTTACAAATCTTACACAAAGACTCCAGCAAGTGTATGACCTATCAAAAATATATATGTGTATACCGATATCGTTTGCGGGGAGGACTGTTGATCGAACGACGATTCCGAGTAATGTTCAGTTGCAGCTCCCTTCAAGGTATCTAAAGTTGGTTGCGAAGCGGCCAAAGCTTCATACTAAAAGTTACAACACTAAAAATCATTTCGAGATCTGATGATGGAAATCATCAGAGAATTAGTTGAAAAATCCCTAAAATGAATATGCACATACCGTTGTGAGGTTGCTGGACCCACGTGAAAAATATAGTTATTAGGAAGAGTAGGTTTAGTACCACACCTAAGCATGGACCATTTGTAATCATTTGGCCCTTAGCGATGAATGAATATACAAAGCGGAAACCTTAGCCTGATAATATACTACATTCTACTACAAAGAAAAGTGCTAAAATAACCGCCTTTCTTACAAATATGAGCACGTTCGAAAAATACCTTATGAAGGATATATAAGATAAAGCTAAGTGGGTATGAACAATTATAAGGTTTACTGTTACTTAATGACGGGAATCCTAAGATCTTTCAAACATAAACATACTTTTTTTTCTTTTTTTTAAAGGTTTAATTTGCAAAACAGCGCAGGATGTACTTCATTATTCATCGAGATAATTTTTGTTACCCTTGTGATTTGTTTGATGGATGAATAAGCTCATTTTCCATTATTTTCTTTGCTAGAAAGGTTGCGCTGGTCAGGCCCTCTCCTTGAAGCTCTGACATCTGGTATCAGTAACCAATGATACTGTGAGTTGAGTGATTTGATTAGATTGGACAATCCTGTGCCCTGAGAAGATGTACTGGCCATGTATATGAAGTCTCTGGAGTTCGAAGAGAACATTTCAATATTTCATCCGTTTTTCCTCTTCTCTATTGACGAAATTCTTGGGGGAGGTTGAGCTAGCCTGATCAGTCTAGGGATGATAAATGACTAATTCCAATAAATTCAGCACTCACCATTACCTGCATGGAATTCAATATTTCCTAGAACATTAGGCAACACAGGTGACTCGTCAATACCGTAAGAGTACCCGAAGTGGTTATAAAGCACTTGTACAGCAGATTTATGTCGGATGTATAAAGGGTGAGACTCCACATGCTGGACAAGCTATTCACAAATAAATCCGGCTCTTTGCTCGGTATGAGAACCCTCTATGCCCATCATGCGACTTTGGCAGACAAAGATGGTGAAGACACCATCGTGGCAGGCAATGATGAACCCCTTAGTTTCCGTCTTCAGCCACTCGACCTGAGGAAAGCAAGATGCTTTGATAAGCTGAGGTCTTCGATTATGTTGAAAAAGACCCCGTGCTTATCCCAGTCAAGCTGTAGGAGTAAAGTGATCCCTATATCTTTTAGATGCTGACCAGGTTCCAACTCGGTGACAGGGTTATGGCTGCCTCCTTCAAAGGCAAAAACTAAACCAAGTTTATGACCTCTCAAAAAAATTACCCACTTTCTCTCTTTCTCTCTCTCAGGGTCGCGGCCATGTCATCGCCTAACAAAAGTTCATTTTTGAATAAGTGAATCATTATATAACATTTTAATGAACTGTACTACTCCCTATAGGGTAATAATAAATGGAATATGAAAAGAAATTACAAAGAAGTCATGTTTCATTTGCTACCCTAATAAAAACTAATTATAGGTACTACACTGGCCGGCAAGGGGCTTATCGTAGTCCAATAGTAATTTAGTTGGAAGAGTCTATACCTGGGCGATCGCTCGCCATCACGTTAAGCGATTGCTGTAACGCTATCGATGAAAATAATTAAACAGTGTTCATTGCAAATTTTTCTTTGTTAAAAATATATTGAACTTATGCAGTAACTAGAAATTTGCCCTTACTACACCTGTGTGAACTTCCTCAGAAAGGTCAATAAAGAACTCTGGTTTCCTTCACAAAAAAAGACTTTTAGTCAATATTTGAAAAAAGTTTGCTTACACAAAATTCAAAAACTACATTAAATGGTTTTATTTAGTTATTTTCAGAATAGGTTTCTGGTTTTAATACTAATACAATATTCATGTCAGCTAATAAGGTGAGTTTTCTTATAACAAATTGTACAGCAACCTTATTACTTTCGCTTTTCGTTGAAAACTCTGATGTTCATTCAATTCAGATAATGCAATGTTCAGTTTTATCAAAAAAAAAAACTCTTAAGTCGGTTATTCTAGCAAGACGGAACTTACAAGGAACAGTAAACCCACACGTTTCATAAGTAAATGACGACATAGAACGACAGAATGTGTTATTGTTAGAACACCTGAAGCACAGAACACAAAACGTTACCACAGCCGGCTGGATCGCCGTGAAATTTATTTAGATAGTTTTTTGCTCTTTTCCAGAAAAAAGCACCAACCTCTTGGGCAACCCTAGTTGCATCCTCGAGAGACATCCCGAATAATATGGAGTGTGCGCCGTGAATGATATCGATGCAACTACGTTTGTCTTTTTTATGGGGAATGCTGGGCGGGGCCGAGCAAGACATTTTGTACTTGCTCTCCTACAGAAATGTTTTGTTTTAAACTCTAGTTTGTTTGTACACGTCAAAGCATGTACCTCGACACAGTAACGTAAGGGGGATGAAATAATGGAAGCTTTCTTTTGAGTTGGTAACTGAATAATTACAGCTTGCATACATTCAACATAAAAATTTCTTTTACCTGAAAGACAATCATCCTTAGTATGTTTCGGGACAAGACACTTGTCTCATTTCATCAGAAACGTTTAAGATACCATTACAATACAAATCACTCGTTTCTTTCATGAGATTATGTCAATCATGCTCTTGTCACGATGACAGTTCATATTAACATTCATATGTTTAATTAATTTCATCCCAGCTATAGGCATTACATGCAAATTAGAAGTTTCCCACATTTTTTCTTTAATATTGAAGAAATATAAAGCAAAAAAACTGTATTTGCCATTGTAATTTGTTTATTTAACTTTTGAATTAATTTTTAAACTACTGAAGAGATATACAACCAGGTAAAACAGGTACTTTTAAATGAGGGTAATATTTTTATGGACTGAAGTTTGGAAAGTATACTTCCTGCAGAATTGCCAACATTAAAAGAGTTCCTGTCACACTGAAATCAACAGTAAGAAGAATTTATGCAGTAAATAGACAAATTACCAACATAATAATAAAATCTTACTTGAAAACCTCTTCTATGTAGATTTGTCAACATTGCTAGAAAATCATAGAGTTTTCATCATAACAATGAGTTTAATATTATTGCTCATGTTGTATGACTTGAATGTTAACAAATTTATCAATTACTATAGGGAGAAAACACATAATATAATATATACTAGTGTTGAAAGATTATTTTCATAAAAAGAAAGTGAGTGTAGTTATTGATTGAATTCATCTATATGATGTTGGTGCATTTGAAAAAAGCCAAGTTTTAGTTCACAAAAATCAAATTGGGAATTTATGTTGACTTTTATGTAATATGTATAAAGCCCGTCAATTCTAACCTAACTCCAATTAACATAACCTTCAATAAACTCAGTAAGTGTGTAATAATCTCAAATAAATTTGAATTGTGTTGGAATATGTTGCAAATGTGAGTTTTTTTGAAGACTTTAGAATCCAAGCTAGATGTAACTATGAAAATTTCATTTCATTCAGAGTGATGCCATTGATTTGAAATAATGTTTCTCTAGTATCAAACCAACTACTTGTTATTCTTGTTTTCGAAACATTTTAAAATTCGTGAACTTGGCCTAACTGTTCTATTCATGTAGAAATAGAAACTCTTGTTCGTGGTACATCTAATGATAACTCAAATTAACATAGAATTTCATCATAGTAGATTTTCATGTCCCTTTAAGAATGGATTTTCCAGTTTCCTATCTTATTTATAATTACTTAGATTACTCACACTGAGATAGTGCTTTCAGTCTTACTTTGAAATCAATACTTAAACATGTTCTAAAATAGTTGATTTTTTGACATTTCAATTGTATACTAACAAATGATGAATTGAAATTTGGTTAAAAAATGTTTTCAACTCATTATAGCCTGTTTGCAATTCAAATGGGATTATTTATCATTTCAAATTTTTAATCATACCATATTCCGAATTTCAGCAATTTAATGTGGGGAAATAATGTTTATATAAACCCAGCGGGGCTTTTACGACAATGAATCATTTACTAGTTATCTTTGCAAGCTTATATTCAGTTCCAATATTTCAATACTTTCAATAACCTAGCTGATATATTTTACCAACTCTTAATTTATAAAATCCCAATTACATTTTAAAAATTTCCCTTCCACGCCTGTGTTTCCCGATTCATTACAGGATTGTTTACTTCCCCTTTAGTATAAAGAATAAGAGAATCAAGTGGAGTTCTAAGTTACTGTTTCAACCTAAAGAGGATGCTCTCGATTTTAACGTTGAATTAAAAAAATGTAATAGAATTAAGTGACAATAGAGAAAGGTTAGTAAGACCTCATGTTAACGTTTGTCAACGTTATTCTAGACGTACAAATGAAAGAGAATCAAGCAGTGACATATCCAGAGTCGAAGTAGTATCGAAAGTACTATCATAACTTTTTTTTTAAGAATATTAACTAAAAAAAGAACAGAATTTCTCTATATGCCACTGCTATCAAGCTAACATAATGGAGAGCCGATGAAGCTAGAGAACTCATAGGAAACCCCTTGAAATAAAGTAGAAATAGATTATTAAGAAAATCAATCAAAAACTATTAAATGCAAAATAACATGCAGGCCAGCTTGAAAGAAATTTTGAATTTTAAATGAACTCATCATTAGGCTGCAGATTTCTTGCGACAGGAAGTTCAAATAGCTTTTGAATGACTGGGAAAAAACCAACTCCTTTTATTGAAATAATTTATTTTCATAAAAATCATACCCCTTCAAAAATAATTCGTTTCTATTAACAAACTATTCAAGTAAAGGTTTATAAAAGCAAAACCTTGGCATCTTTCCATCTTGTTTGATAACTATAATTTGGTTTTGCAGTTCGTGTTTGATTTCACAAAAATATAAAAAAGAGTTGGTGATTTTTTTCATACAAATTCATGCTCATCAAATAAAAAAAAAATAGTAAAATTAATATTTGATACCTGAGTTTTCAACTGATCTTTCAACCAGGTCAGATAGAAGTGCAAATCAGATCGTTCCATCGGAGTATGGGACCAACATGCGATTTTTGCAATGATTCTGGATGTCATGTTGGTAATGAATCCATCTTGTCGATTAAGTAGGTTCAAGAATGGTCCCCAAACTGATTCTTTCTTTTTATTGGCATATTCATGAAAGATCTCCACACGGCTTCTACTTTCCTAAATAAATGGAATCGTATTGATAGTAAGCACCTTTATGAGTGATTATTCACAAAAGAAACACCTACCTGCAACATATCATCTACCAAAACCAAGATGTACTGCAATGTTTGATCTTTTGAAACATGTCCCAACAGATTCAAAAAGGTCTGGGCACACTGATTACGATCCTTTTGCAAAAGTGCTTCTCGTTTAGCGCTATCTGTGACATCAAAAGCTACAATGAAGTTATAGTCTTCCTGTGATATCATCTGAGACCTGTGAAAATATGATATCTAAGTATCTTACTAGATATAGACTGTGTTAATAAAATTCATATAATTTTCTAACAATTCTGAAGCGAGGTTATGCAAATTAGAAGACGATTTTCTCTAATAGAACATTTCTAACCAAAAAAAGCCAAATTTTATTATGCAATACATTATTTCTTTACACGCCAATTACGCGGATGGAGTCAACGGTCCTAGTCTCTTGAGAGTAAACTCATTTCGGATTCAAAAACTTCAAATGTCTTATACAAAACTAACCACGAGAACTGGAAAACGAGAGCACATTTCACACCTGTTCGGAGATTTAGGTCGGTTGAACATGAAGGTCAGGTGCAAGCTCCACTCTGCTCCACTATTCCATAAGCTCATTACAACAAAAACACCCTTTTACCTTATTGAGAAAATATCATTCAGAATTAGGGGTTTGCAATTTAAATTTATTGTGTTTTGGTGGGTGGGGCCTAGGGGGTTGATGGGGGTGAGTTGTAAGTTTTAAAATTGACACAGTGTATATGAAACAACTGGCGAATAAAATCTTTATAAATAAATGAGATTTCACGGTTACCTAATCTTTTCGTAATGCTCGAAAAATGGCCACTTTTGAACCACATTTCTACTCATTCTTTGGTTGTTAAATGATCCATATTGTAAATGGCAAACCTTTCACTGAAAAAATTACACTTTAGATGACACTGAATGGATAATCCTTCACTTGACCTACTGAAAATGCATCATCACTCAACATTGAGAAAATTCTACAATAGTTTGTGAAGAGTCTCACCAAAAGGACTGTTCAAAAAACATTCTATAAAACTATATATCCATACTGCTGGGTCAACGAATTTTAATGAGTTATATATCAAAGCATTGATCAACTTACTTGTGATAAAAAATACTAGAATTCTTTTTCGAAGTCGTAATTGACGACTCATTGTTATTTTAGAACAGAATAATTGTTAATTCTACGTCTCAATTTAAACAAATGCCAAATCCTTGAGGAACATCCAGCTATTTTGACACTTAAACAACAACAGACGAACTGACAGTCAGAACCTTATTTGACTTTTTCCAACTTATAAATGACATTCACCTCATAGGCAATGGTATCCAACTTTCAGCCAATCAAATAACAGCTTCAGAAAAATGGTTATTTTTCTGGATATATTAGGTCGAAGAGGTAAGAAGAATTTTTGTATTGGTGGTAATTGAAACAAATCCACTCAAAAATTCACTGCAAAGTTCAATTTCCATGATAGATATTTTTATGATGGACGAAAAATCTTTTTTTAATGAATGAAGTTTTAAGCTGCCTTCGATCCTTCCCTCTAGTGGTCTCCATGGACGAAGTTCTGACACAAATACCAGCTATTTTACACTCAACTGCACCATTCCCAATTATGAAGAAAATTTAGAATTATATTAGAACAGTATAGGTTCGTTCGTAACATAAAACATTACGTTGCGCAACAATTTCGTTAAGATGAAATTTTAAGATGATATGAAATGCACAAACAAACTAATTATTGCATCCTGAGATTACAGGAATGAATTACAAACCAACTTTTCTTCTCAACCTCACTAATATGGTTTTTATTTATAAATGATTGAAATCAGTACCACTTGAAACATAAAATACAAGTCATTTAAAAGATTGTGACATCTAGTGGAATTGAGTGAAACAAAGTAGCTACAACGAGATTTTTACTATTGAAATTATTTGTTCATCTGAAAAAAGAGTGTGTAATAATATAATAGAAACAGTAGTTGTACTATATTATCAAAGGTTGGTGAATAGTATCCCGCATCCACTTATTTGCCTCTTACTGCCATATGGATTTAATTCAAGGATTAATGTGAATGAATGAAAATAGCATACTCCTCACATCAGGAGAAATATTAATTAGAAGATTGTAGTACTCACTGAAAATAAGACTGCCAGTTAACATGCTGATTCCTGATGTCAGTTGCCCTTTGCTGCAAAACACTGGTAGCAGCCAACATATCTGTTGGAATAGCCATAGTTTGAATAACACATTCGACAATCGTTTGATTTCATCAGATTTTTCTATTTATAAACCAAAAACAATTCCAAAAATAAAACTTCTCAACAAATTTTGGTAGTCACTGGTATAGTACACCATTTTATGTCACGTGAATTCAAAACACGCCTATTTTTACAAATAGAAAACAAATGTTTTGTAAGAATTTAACAAAATTAATGAAAAATTAGGTAAATGTAGTGAAAATCCTCAACAATACTTCATTCGTTTCTTAATGTGCCAAATAAATAATTTTCCTTAAGTGAGTACGCACTAAAATTCTTACCTATTTTGTCGTCATCTAAAGACGTTATTATTTCTTTAATTTTCGGATCTGTTCCGGCCGCTGCTAGGTTCGATGCCATTTTTTGCAATTTTTATCCAAACCGATAGCCGAAAACTTTTTTGCTTCACCAGCCCAACTTTTTACTAGATCTTGACACAGCTGACAGTCTTGTGATTATTGACATAGGTTAGGTAACCTTTTCACCTGACGTTTAATGATTTTGTCGTAGGTAGGAAAAGGACAGCAGATCTTTTTCAGTTGGTCACGAGAGGCTTGTACCGCCAAGTTCAAAAATGGAACTCACGGAGCCCAGACCCAAGAAATGTTGCAAACTTTCCAAAAACCTACCTCTCCCAGTTATTTTGAAGAAGGATGGTACAGTTCACAGAATTAATGGTTTTTTCAATGGATTTTCAGTTTGTATTACCGACAAAGAGGACATGAAAAAAATTATTTCAATGGGGTATTTTGGAAAAGCAAATCTTTCACGAAACTACCCTCAGTTTGGTGATAAAAGGACTGAAATATTGAGAAATAGGCAATATAAAAAAAGAAAAGCTTGGAGTGAACAGACTTCCAGTAAAGATATCAGGAAAATTATAGTTGTTCCTGACTCTGAAGACGATAATGAAGATTATTTCACAAATTTGAGGCCAGAGTACCAAATCGATAGGTCAGGACTGAAAGAAACAGTTTGGCTCAGTCTGGAGGAATCTTTCTTTCTGTCAGAAACTGTGAAGTGCTTGAATATTTTCAATGGCAAAAATATTTTAAGTTCTGAAGAATGTTGGAAATTATTTTCGGAAGCAGATCCTCATTTTAAACAAAATTATATTGTTTACTTCCATTTTAGAGCTAAAAACTGGGTAGTGAAGCCAGGTATAAAATTTGGTGGGGACTATTGTAAGTACTGGATTTTATAAATAAATTACATCTAACACAGTTTATTTTAGTGCTCTATAAACAAGGCCCTCCTTTCTTTCATGCATCCTATGTAGTGATCATAGACTTCATGAACGAAGATTCAACAAGAAATGAAAGTATGTTGAGAAAATCACTGGACAATGTTTCATTATTGAGTTTAAATAGACTCTGCGAAACGGCAGGAAAGGAGTTGATGATATGTCAAGTTACAGGGCAGCAAAACGAAGATATTCACTACACAAATTTGGGTAGTTTTGTGGTGAACGAGTTGTTAGTTAAACGATGGATGTTAACACAAGAACTTTCTTGAAATGTTTATTTTTAAAACTACATTATAATTCTTCTCAATCCTAGTGCTGTTCATTTTTCATTAATTGTTTAAGAATCAATTACATTGAACCCATTCTCTGTGTTTTGTTCCGAGAAATGCCAGTTCTTCTATATTCCGACCTTTCTGCTAAATATTCCTGTGTGCATTCTTCTTTGAACTGATCATTACTCAACCAGTTAACTAAGCATTCCTTCAAAGATGAATTTTCTTTTCTGCACTTTACCACCATCAATAGGCCAGTGTTTTTACAGCACTCTGTAAATTCTTCAACCTCTTTGAAACATTTTTCAACTCTGGCTTTCTCACGCATTTTCTTCGGTATCAATACATTCATTTCCACTTTTCTCATAAATAAATCATCTGGATCTCCTGAAAATGAAATATTACATCTGTTTTAGTATGAGTAGATTCCATTACTAACCCAATCCGTGGGGTCCATTACAATACCTAGAGAACACAGTTTGTTTTTTCTCAGTATTTTCCATTATTGGAGAAAATCTAGTTAGATCAATTTTTTTATCTTCTGAATCAAAGTTTCATATTTTCCATAGATACACAAATATATTTTCAAAATTTAAGGTTATGTCTGTGATTCTATCTATGTAAAATCCACAAGACACATCAAGCAGCTAGCGCACAGAATTTAACTGGAACAAGTTCATAATATTCCGTAAAAAGTCGCTGATAAACGATTCGTTATTTATATCGGTAGCTGGATTTTAATCCGATTTCTATTCCGGAACCCGGCAGCGGAACCGTCAAAAAGTCGGGCCCTCGAAAGAGAGTTCGTCGGGGCAACCCACATTTTAGAGTGCCACCAAGATTTAGCCAAAGCCTCGGTAGATAATAACATTAACAATAGCATTATCCTGAGGTGGGTTAAAGGGCACGACAGGAGTAAAGATGATCGTATTGCCTACTCTTTAGCCAAGGAAGCGGTTGGACTAAGAATTTTAGGACCCAGTAGCACCCACGGCCTGATGACTTCGACAATTGCGGAACTAGTCAAATGTTACACCCATGCTCAATCCTTAAAGAGATGGGATGGAATCAAAGTATGTAATCTTGCCAGGATCACCTTGGGCGACCCTGGGAAGCTGACGCCGAAGAAATATCTGGGGATGACCAGGAAAAATCTATGCCTTACAGTAGGATTTCTGACTAGCCACTGTCAATTAAGAAAACACCTCCATAATATGGGGCTAGTGGGCACACCTCTATGTAAGATGTGTGAACAGGAAGATGAGACTGTCAGGCATGTCCTGTGCGAGTGCCCGGAGTTATCGTCAATATAAGAGAGTGTGTGTTTGGAGAGTCTTGGCCTACACCTGCCGATATAAAGGAGATGTCTCCCAGCGACCTGTCCACCTTCCTGGAAAGGACAGGATGGACAATGGGTCACATGTAGCCTAAGTGCGTGAGCTTACACTCACCCTCCCTACTCTACAGATACAGATACGTGTGTAAGCATAGGTCGGAGTTTTCGATGCATCTTGTTTATGTCAAAAACACAGATTAGGTACATATTCCACATCTTCATACAAACCTAACATACCCTTGAATTCACTTTAATAATGACAAATGGATAGTAATTCAATCACAGTTCAGGTGTGAGTTGTGAAAAAATATGTTATTGATTTTTATGGCTGGCCTCTGCTCCCGTATTTTTGTTAACTATCACGAGCCATTAACTTGTTCCATTGGTTGATACCGTTAGTAACCGGTGAAGGTGACTTCATTTAAATTGAAATGAACATACTGTGCTCCTAAAGAAAAATACGTCAATTATCAAGTGGTTAGAAAACCATTGTTTTCGCCTGTATGATATAAATGCATTATTTTCAGCTTGCCATGCTTGACAAGTTCCTGGATAGTAATTTCAACCCAATTGTGGATGGGCCCGCACCAGGTCCACTTGTGTGGCCACATTTGGCTTTAACAACAACTTTCGTTACCAACTGGCCGAATAGTCTTAGTTGCTGAGGCCATTGAATCGAAAAGAATAAGAAGAAGATTACTTTTGATCCTTTCAACACTGTCAAATAAGTGGTGAGTTGCAAATTTTGGGGAATTTCAGCATTACAAACAATTATCTTCAATATCCTTTGTGAACAACGTACGCTCGGAACTTAGACAGGGTACGGGTACTGATATTTTCGCAAATTCAGATTATATTTCTCAGTTGAAATGGACCGACTTTTGAGACTTGGAGGAGGTATGCCAGGTTTGAGTCAAGCACCTCCTCCTTCAGATGCACCTGTGGTAGATACAGCTGAACAAGTGTATATTTCCTCTCTGGCTTTACTGAAGATGCTGAAGCACGGCCGTGCAGGAGTACCAATGGAAGTAATGGGGCTTATGTTAGGTACGCAAATTATGGTTTGCAAGGTGTGATTTGTTCTAATGTCTTTAAAATTTCCAGGTGAATTTGTAGACGATTACACAGTCAGAGTTATTGATGTATTTGCGATGCCACAGACAGGTACAGGTGTTAGTGTAGAGGCTGTAGATCCAGTTTTCCAAGCTAAGATGTTGGACATGTTACGGCAGACTGGTAGACCAGAAATGGTGGTGGGCTGGTATCATTCCCATCCAGGATTCGGTTGTTGGCTGTCGGGTGTCGATATCAATACCCAGCAAAGTTTTGAAGCCCTTTCCGAAAGGGCAGTTGCTGTTGTAGTAGACCCAATTCAGTCTGTTAAAGGCAAAGTTGTAATCGATGCCTTCAGGTGAGACTCTAAGTTGTTTTTTTGTTTGAAGAAGGCAGGGTTTCACAATATCGCTCAGTGAAATACTGCTAGTGAAACTTTCTTTGCAACCACAATTTGTAAGTTGGTAAACATTCATTTTTCTGGCCTGGGTTAATTTTCAACAAATTTTCAGTTAGAACTACATTTATGTGTCCTTTCCATGCTGTTAATTCCATAATTTTCACAATAAAATTAATTGAAGATGTGTTTCACTTCACGGTAGTTTCATCAGTTGGACTGGAACATCTAACATCTTTTTGAAGAATTTAATATTAATTTATGAACTACTAGCCACACAGATAACCTTTGGAAACGATTCTTAACGTAAATCTTGATTTTATCAATTTTTTTCAAAAACAAATTTAATTTCACTTTCAAGTCCAAATCAGAACTTGAGTTTATATATACTACACTATACTATACTACATCTATGACGTTTGTGATAGAAACCCCCAATATACTTGTATATGTAAAAACATTTTTGTGTTTGAGTTTTCTCAATCTCTTCAGTTGTTTCAGTTTCAAAAATAGAAACAAAAAAATTGATTTAGTTTGGAAAACAAACTTGAAACTCAAATTCCTCCAAACAAGACAAAAACTAATCTGGGTCGCGTGTTTTGTTGTAAAATGTTTTTTGTTGTTTTCACGACAGAAACTTTTTTGTATAATTGAATCTTTTGAGCGAAATGAGTGAAAGCGAAAAAAAACAAGATACTGGATGAGATCATTGTCAAGAAGACGAATAGATTATGTAACTGATAAAATTATGGCAGATTTGATAAATGATGACATAGAAATGAATGGAGAAAGAGCATCATCGAAATTTGCCACAGATAAACACTTTAAATTAAGTAGTAATGTCACATGAAGTCACACATCGGAAGAAAATAGTGAACTGAATATTTGTTTGGTTGTTGTCGCCGACCGTTAACACATAGCAAACTCTATTTATAAAAACAGAGACAAAACACTGAAACATTTTGATCTTTCTGCCTGCTGACGTGACATTTCGTTGTTGACAAAAACAGTCACCCGTGATACAAAGTCTTCAAAATGTGTCTTAATTGTGTCAAATGTGTCGAAATCGACACAATTGTTTTTTTGCTCATTTGGTGTAAATACACGTTTACAGGTAATTTTGAATGAATGTCATTTTTTTGTGGAGGAAATCGGAGTTGATGTCAACTTTCTTTGAGTATTTTCACCTTCCACAATCTGAAAACAGTGAAAATTGTAATGGAGAACTGTATATACGTGTAGAAAGGGCAAACTATTCAGTTCACCTCGATAAGTTACTGCGTAATTTCAATGTATACTGTTCTTAATTACAATTTTCATATTTTATCAGATTATGGAAAGTAATTTTATATATATTTGTGATTTTTACAGCTGTCATTTTATTTTTTAGGTTGATAAACCCTAACATGATGGTTTTGGGTCAAGAACCTCGACAAACAACCTCCAACTTAGGACACCTCCAGAAGCCTTCAGTGCAAGCTCTCATTCACGGTTTGAATAGGCATTATTACTCGATAAGTATCAATTATCGAAAAAATGAACTGGAACAGAAAATGCTTCTCAACTTACACAAAAAGTCCTGGATGGATGGCCTTACCTTAGCGGACTATGCAGAGAACTGTAGTGTAAATGAAAAAACCGTGTCTGACATGCTGGATTTGGCTAAAAATTATAACAAAGCTCTAGAAGACGAGGAAAAGATGACACCAGAGCAACTAGCGATCAAGAACGTCGGCAAACAGGATCCGAAAAGGCATTTGGAGGAGAAAGTTGACGTTTTAATGACAAATAACATTGTTCAGTGTTTGGGAGCTATGTTGGACACCGTTGCATTTGAATAATTCAAGCTCTTGAGCTTCATCATCTCCAATTCATTCATTTGACAACTACTTTATAAGATATTTTTCATTAAACTAATTTTTTTTTGTACCTTTTTTCTTTGTTTTGAAGAAAATTGTATGAAAAGGGAAAAACAAAGCATTATAAATTCACTGAAGTGGTTTTTTGAATAATATAATATACTGGTAGGTGTATATATCATTGACTATATGTGTTACTTCGATCGCTAGGGAGTGGATTGAAAGAACTAGTTACAACAGGTATATACATATAATCTCCCAGAGAGTAGGCTTTTCAAACCGTCAGTATTAGTTCTCTGGGGATAAGTGTTTTTAGTGATCTGTTAAAAACACGAAGTCTCTTAAAATTGATCCCTACAATTTCTAAAATGACCCTTCTCCCCCTAATAGATTTTTATCTCATTTCTATTACACTCATTTCAAAACAACCCATTGAAGCTGCAATAAATGAAATACAATCTCCTATTGATCCTTCACTTAGAATGATCAATGAAAAAAATCTAAATATACGGATCATAGGTTTAGGCCTATCAAAATTCAAATGTCTTCTGAGTGGGACTTGAAGATTAATTATACACCAAATTATCAATGTATTCATTCATTACTTATTTCTATCCTTTATATTATACTCTCCATGTATCTCTGTATTTTGAAGAGTATAATCTATAATTCTGTTTATCTTAATCCTTTCACATTCTTCACATGCTTGAGTTCATTTTGACAAATACTTTTACATTTTTAGTATTTTCTTCAATTTTAAAATTTTCTATAAATATTTATTGAATTTGATGCTTGTACTATTATTAAAGGGGTGATCCCGTGCAATAAATGAATAAAAAATGCTAGAGTAATACACTTGTTATTCCCAAATAACTTACTCCTCCAATTGTTACAGTAAGGATTCACACGAAATTTATCAAACTCGCTAGCCACATATGAATTGGCCCGAGGTACAGTGGAATCCTTCGAAAGGGGAGAAACAGTAAAATATGTATATTGTAACCCTGAAAGGCTTCTTACTCAGAAAACTTCCATACTAGAGAATTTGAGTACAAAAGTTGGTACAACAGGGATGCCTCAGGGGTCTATTGTGGGATTCCTTCTATTTATATTGAATGTTGATGAACTTTCACAATACACAAGTCCTTTCAATACCATTCAGTATGTCGATGATACCATGTTTTGTGATAATCACCCTGGTTATAAATATTCTATACAATAAACCTCGCTTCCTTTATGAAAGAGCTGAAATATTGCCAACAATCTCTAAAAGTTTTTAGGTGTTATATTGTATCCAAAACGTAATTGGCAGAACCACATGATAGATTTTTCTTCTGAATTGCCCAGTGTTATTTTTCCTGCTTTGCAGAAGTACTGTATTTCTTATGTACTTGAGAGTAGCATGCATCTGAAACATCATACGGACTTCTTTTCTGAGGAAATTCAACTAATTATGACTAAACAAAAACTTATAATCTTGACTATTTCACCTTTATACATTTCCCAATGTCTTTCCCGTAGGAAAGATGTAGCTTGTATCAAAAACAGAAAGTGTCATTAGTAAGTAAATTGCAACCATATTATACAATCAGAAATGTGATAATCTCTTTATGCCACAGCATTGCTTGGCAACCACCAATGGAAGCTTCATTACCATGGCAATAAGGTTCTTCAATCATACCACCATAATCTCTTTATGCCACAGCATTGCTTAGTAACCACCAATGGAAGCTTCATTACCATGGCAATAAGGTTCTTCAATCATACCACCATATAAGAGTTATCTGCTCACAAGTAAATTCAAGAGTAATTCAAAAGGGCTGGTGGTTAATTTGTGTCCAGATAACAATAATAAACTCAATTTCATATTTTAAAATGTACTGTATGTCCTAGTTTGAGTGTATGTATTTTGAATTTTTAAGTTTTGCTTCTTGACGATACTATTTCTGTTATAATGAGAAATTAGGCAATTAAACTGGTTGCAAATTTTTCTCAAACACTGTTTTTGCATAGTGAATATTTGCTGAGTGTCTGCAGACATTCCCCAAAGGATGACACCATATCTAATACAATCTTCAATGTGTCAATAGTATGCCAGTAATGTTGCAAGTTGTTGCAGTATTATTTATATGAGTCTTCGAGTTAAATTTTGAGTCAACTGAAAAGACCTAGACCTGGAAAAGACAATTAAGGAACAGATTCCCATTGCTAGAATTACTATCACTACTGGTGCCATTCAGTGTAAAAGTTACGACTTGTGTTTTATTGGTGTTCAATTTCAGATTATAGACTGCAAAGTCTTTCAAGAATTTCAAGTAGGTAAATATATTGATTCTTTTGAGAAGAGGTATCATTTGAACTGAAAACCACAGAGCAATAATCAGCATAATGCACCATAAATCAATTCACAGTGTCGGGTACATTATAGTGTATAATATTTAGAGTGAAGGGCCTCAGACTGGCCCTTGGGGTACACCTTATAAGTTCGCCAGTTTGGTCCCTTTGATATGATGAATTATTCTGATAAATAGAATAACAAAAATCAGAAATATTTCAAGTGCTTTCGTAAGGTTATTTCTTGTTATGAAATCGAAAGGTATATCCCTGTTATAAGTATAGTATTCTACTCGCGAAAAATAGACATTTCTCGCTCGAATGATATACGATGCTCGCCTTGCGTTGACAAACTTCATTTTCATAAATAATGACCACATTTCTCAACTGTTGAATGATACACTATTTTCAACTAAATCATCTAAAGGCACAAATCGTTCAGGCCAGTCTCAACTTCCTACACTGTAGGTTAATGGACTGACACCTATCAGAAAACAACTACTTCCCTGGCTAATACCACGAAGGGCGTTGGATTATATCCGACAGGCGTCCGTGCAGGATTTTTCACTGAAGTTATTCCAGCATATGCTGTTGGCGATACAACTGCCGCTTTTCAATTATTGTAACACACTTGCAGACCGGTTTCGGGTTGTTTGGCCACTCGTCAGTGCAAGGTAGTGTCTATCATCAAGATACAGTCGATGATTTCCGATTATTGAAAGCCGATTTCCTTCAGAGTATCATTCTTTGAACTAAGCTGAAGTGGACACCAAACAACAGTTTTGTCATCGCCCTATCTGCTTGTGAACGAGGTAACCAACCGCATATCCGAAATTTGCCCAATGGGGAATGTTCATCCTGACGAAAATCAAGTAGTTCATAAAAGAGCTCTAAAACAACGCATTTCAAACTTATCATTTCAACCTTTTTCTTCAAAAAATTATTTAAATACTTAAAAAAAAGGAATGAAATAATGCATTCAACATTCAAAGGGATTCGTTTCAATTTCACCATTTGGCAACATCGGTTATAGCTAATAAAGGATAATGAATCTGTTACCTGTATGAGACAAATAAAGATGACATATTTCAGAGGCGTGCTGTTCTGTTTACTTATGTTCCGAGTTCCGAAACATTCTGTGACATATGACATTTTGTACACCTAACCTATCTTCCTCTATATAAATAAATAACAAAACAAATGTTGTTTATGTGGCTTGTGGAGGTGGTATTGAACTATAATTTATATTTTGCCTTAATTGTTGATTTATAAAGATAATTTTCCTTTTTTAAAGTAGAATATCTACTCCGATCTAGCATTCTAGGCGCTGTTGCCAATATGTGATTTAGAAACAAATCCCTTTAAAAATTAAAACCCAACATTTGAAACATCAATTTGCTATAATAACCCAAATTGAGGAACATTCACCATATACGGAAAGAAAACTTTTCACATATATTCAGTGGGCATACTTGAAGACTGGCTATAAATCAAATTATCAAAAGGAACCATTCGTTCAGGCCAATTACTTTCTTCAACTTTCACATTACATTTTAAATTGAATGCTTTTTAACTATACAGATAGTGTCGACAGAATATTTCCTTGACAACAAAACATATTTTGATTAATTCTGAAAGTTCAATTAAAAAACTAGTTACAAAATATATTTTAATTTTTGTACTTGACATTCAAACAATAAATACCATTTTCAAATACGAATGATTTTAAATTACACTACAAAATTATTTGTTTCTTCTTTTGAATCGAAGTTTCGCCTGTGTAGATCTGCATTATCAGGGTCAAGTAGATTTTCTAATTCGCAGTCAACACTGCACAGATCTGTAACAATAAAGTTAATGTATAATTAATTTCAAAAAAGTTCTGTATGTCCTCTGTTGAAATACATTTGTTGTGAAGAAATTCATGGTTTGCCTGATCTCCTGGGCTTTTGAACTTAAGTAACATTTCAACAATTGCCAATAAATTCAAAATAAAATCTTTTCACAAAGTGAATTCAGGGTTCAAAAACGAGAACTTTGGACAATCACCAGAAATGCAATACTCTTCTCGACGCGCGTTTCAGCAACCAAGTTATCGTCTTCAGGAGATGATGAAAACTGGCAAAAAAATATTTGCTATACTTGGGAGATCTGAAGCAAAGGTTGCGTGCTCTACGTGTTGAATTTTCAGGGATATCTGTCGACTAACATGTCTACCTTGATTTCATTTACGTGGGTCGCTTAAAAAAAACGATAGATATCGTTTATATCGCTGTTTGTGTGACGGTACAGACTTTCGAATTCTTTAACGTGATAATGTAATTTGAGAGGCAGATGTGACGTCATGACATTGAGATAAAATATTAATTTAGGTTATGCAAGCATATGCTTGAAAGTTTCCCGATTTCTTTAAATTACTTTTGTGAATCCATAAAAATCTCTAATTATCAACAGTGTTGATCATAGGCTACGTTGCCAACATTTTTAGTTAGTTATTTAGTTAGTATTGAACTGGAAATATTTACTTATTATGATGAGAACACACATTAGCTTTTGTGTTAACCTATTGAACAGAGATCAAAATATTTTACTAATAATGTTACATGCGGGGATCCTCTCTAGTGGTATTAGATGACTTTAGTTCGCTCAGCGAATAATTTTTGCCGGGACGACTCAATCTATAATATCAGTGAGAACCAAACGCACCTATTAACATCATATGTAGATTGGCCATTAGTAAAACAGGAATTACGTCACATTTTTGGGAATTCCATCGTCCAGAAGCGACATCTACCGGACATATTTAAACTAAGCCAGATGGTAAAACAAAAACACAGAATCCTCTCCAGCTGTTTTCATGTATTGCTGTGAATGAAAGTAATTTATTTTTAACTGTACCTGTTAAATCAACACAACATATGTTCAGTTATTCCGATCAGCCGTTAGCAATTTGTGTAGCGCCATCATCGGTAGAAATTCTCTCCTATACGGATCTTTTGTTTTTATATTTCGAAAAATATATTTGGAGAGGGCAATTTCAATTTGAAAATCAAAATATACGAATATTTTACAAATTAAGTACTATATGTAATGTAACGTTATACTTGGATCATTACTTTTGGAACACCCACACAAAAAAACGGTATCAATTCATTTTACCCGGTGCTCAAATGCGAATTGCGAACAATGGAACGAATTCATCAATTACCGGTCGAAATACATTTTCGAATTTGACACAGAGTTCATATGTCAACGAACATCACATAGGGCATTTTTTTACGATAACCTCACTAATTTGTTTCTACGATAAAATATTAGTATTGCCTATCGACATCATTTTGCGTTAACGTCAGAACTAACCTACTTGGTCTACAAGAATTTCTGAAACAGAAGCGGATGTAGCACATATGCCCTACAGATAGTTTCAGTTTCATTTAGAAAAAATGAACGATATTATTATTGATGTTCCTTTTACCTTCAATAATCTTCTCTAATTCCTCTTTGGAATTGAAATACTTGAAATCTTCTCGAATAATTTCTTGAAATATCGACACCACTTCTTTTCTCACATTCAAGAAGAACAACGGCTGTTTTCTCATTATAAATTCATTTATTAGAGATGAAATCCCTTTGGCTGCTGTAAAATCTGCACCTGAAAATAGAATTTTGATCAATTATCGATTCTATTCTAGTTTGATTGTTTATGATTCCGAAAATGCAAATTGATCAAATTGAAAAAAATATTAGGAATTGAGGTGAATATCATTCAATTCAGGCGTAATTTAGTGACACGGAATCATTATTTGTTTGTATAATACTGGCAGAATATTTGATAGTGAAATTATCTTAACTTGTAAGACATACCTAATATATATCTACAGTCTATGACGACTGGAAGGTGTTTGGAAGTTTCTCCTGCTTTTCCTACGTTTGTTTTTATGAAATCGATAGATGGAAAATACAAACTGTTTTCTGGCGTGATCATGATATATTCTTTTCCATCGTGAGTCTGAAAAATACGAAGAATTAAACATCCAAATTCGTTCTAGTTCCCCAACTATAACTATGAGTCAGGCATTTATTGTTTGTAATACCTAATGTAGATGAAAAATCATGACAGCGAGAATCATTTTCTATATAATCTCCACGTTTAGACTATTATAACAAACGAATTATTTTTTGAATTGAGAATTTTAATATGGACTTTGAATTGTGACTACAAACCCAAGATATAAATATCCAGAGATTTTATTTATTGTCTGTTATTAATTATTACTATTCCGGTCAGAGGAACTTTTGAGTCAATTTGTCAATGTGTGATGTAGTTAGCGTTACTTATATTTGAAAAAGGGCCACCTGTCTGCAAAGATTGTTTGAAATTTGAACTTCCGAAGAAAGTTCCATTATTTCTTCTGAAAGGAAATGCGTTGACAGTTTAAATTGTGAGTTCAAAGTTATAAGTGTGAAATCTCAGTTAAATTAGGACAAGCGTCTATAGACAGCAATCGTCACACCTGCATTTAGTGCTCAGCATCACAGACGTCAGTTAATGAAAACAAAATCTAACCTATATCCTTACCAAATCTATATTCAATTGACTTTAATATATGATATGTTTTCCAAGTTTAAGTTGCACTAGTTGAATCAAACTTCGGCTAGGTGTTTCAATATTGTGTGTCTAGTTTTTGTTCGATTAACAGTAATAAATTAATTTGCAATAAATGCTGACATCCATTGTGTCGAGTAGAAAGTGTTCATGGGGGGAATTTGCTGTGTACAGACGCTGGTCGTAATTTACAAGTTATATGTGTCAATTCACAATTCACAGTTGNTACCTGTTACAATTCCCCCAAAGGGAGTTTGGACGCCACTGGCATGATTCACTGCAGATCTCGAAAAGGATCCAGTGATAGGCATCGAAGAAAAAAAGGAACCAAATATGTTGCACAATGACAGAGTTAATAGTTCTTGAGTGGCGTCGATTGTGGAACCACTAGCTGAAAATAAAAAAAAATCACTAGCTGATGATAGATAATCACCATCTTTTTGTATCAACCACATAACCCGTATACTTTTTGATTGAGAAATAATAATAAATCTCCTGGATTAGATAACATAAAAGTATAGGTATTTTTGAAACAGTGTTAAGGGTTAGGTCAAAAGTGTGTATGTGAGACAAACAGAAATGAGACACACTGTCTGACGACAGTCCGATTCTCTGCATATGATGATTCAGACAGCCCCACAAATATTTGGTTTCAAGCTCCGAAGGGTGTATGAACGCCTTGGAGTGAGCCAATCCTGAAAGATTTTACCAGAAGGCCTTAACTCTTCTTGCCATCCAGGTGTTTAATGTTTGTTTGGGTAAACCTAAAGCGATGCCAATAGGTTATGGTCCGATGAAGCTGCTTGCAGTACCCTCCTTTGCAAGGGAGTCAGAAGCCTCATTGCTTTCCAAGCCAGTATGGCCAGGAATCCAGAGCAGAGACAATCTGTTAAGTCTTCCTATCGAGGAGAGTCGTTTTTGGCAATTTGCTACCAATTTAGACGTTGCTCGTTCCAACCTTTTGGCACACAATTTCCGCTTGAAATACAGTCGCGTAGGTCCCTAGGCAGGTTGATATCTCTGCAACTGAAAATACCTGCACCAGAGCCTGAAGGTGTTCTGGATCCAATTGTGAACCAACAATAATAAATCTTCTGGATTCGATAACATAAAAGTATAGGTATTCTTGAAACAGAGTCAAGGGTATTTTCCGGGTTTTTTGGCCGTGGTCTGCAGGTTTTTGACATTATCAAAAGTGATGAGGTAACGGTCGAGGTGTCCGAGTTGTTCTCAATGCAGAAACTACAATGTTGGATTTGTCTCCGGTTCCATATCATTGCTGGTGGGCGTGGCTTCATTGAATTAAATGACCTTGTTTGTGTACAGTTAAGGACAGGCAGCTAGATTTTACTAATGTACAATGCCTCTTCCTTTTTACTGAAATTATCCCTCTGTTTCTAAATTTCTATAGCCTTTTTTTTATATATTCTTGGGACAGTAATTTTGAGTTTAAAGGAGTATTTATGTATCTTTGAATAAAACAAGGTGAAAGTCTTCTTTTTTGGTTGGTTTGTCCGAGGTGACAGTTTCTCTTGTGTTCAGAGAGACTAGTACCTACACATCTTTTCGTGGTTCCAATGTAGACCATTAGGGCATACCGTGAAGGCAGCCGTTGAGATAGACCGTTAAGGGAGCCGTTTGAGAGAAACACACGATGTGAAACTAATTTTAAGGTCAACAAAACTATCGAAGAAAGTCTAAGGAGTATACTGGATCCTTTGAAGCTGCGGGTCTACCTTAACGGTCTACCTTAACGGCTTCCTTAACGGTCTACAATGGAACCACAAGAAGAAGTATAGCTAGTCGTCTCTCTGAACACAAATGAAAAACAATTTGAATCATATAACTTTCTTGTTGAAGCAATCCATGTTCACTTCATTTGATAGATCTTGTTTTTAATGATTCCTTGAAAATGATTGTTGATTAAGTGCGTTATGTTATTGTTAATATATTAAATGTATCAATTAATCAATCAATCAAAATATACTTTATTGTCTGAAGAACATAATTCTCATTGACAAAGTCGTTTACAAAATGAAAGAAGAAAACAACACAACAATCACCTTTAGAATCTATCGATATGATAAATAGTAAGGTAGAAAAACTGATAGTAATTATAATTGGAATACGATAAACGCAAGTTCAATATAAATATAAATAATGTAAAACTATCAATGAAACACATTGAATAATATTCAACAAGAACCCCAAGAATTCGGAACAATCCTCTTGTTGTCCCAAAGAGTATCTAGTGGACTTCAAAGACTCCAGGAAATCGGTTGGAGGGAATGATGATACCTTCTTATGAAACTGCAGCTGCATGAACAGGTGTTTGAGTTTGAGTTTTTGGTATATTGAAAGACAACCTATTAGCATCACACTAATCTTTAACTTTACTAATATCATTCTCAATCATTTGATGCAATTGTGTGCCATTTTTATCATGTATTGTGGTGTCATCTGCAAATTGAGTGAATACTCCGGAAATATTAATTGAGGCTAGATCATTTATATAGACTAAGAAAAGGGTGGGTCCCAGAACTGATCCTTGAGGTACAGCCCATTGTTTTAGATGTTGATAGTTAACACCTGGTTCAGTAGAGTTTACAGTTCGATTTCCTACAAATTACGACACTTCTACCCACTGAATGACTGATAATTTCACCTGAGTTTTTAGATGAAAACTCCTCAGCTAGAGGGCCGATGTCAGTGATATACCTCTTCCTTTCTATACATCATTATCGTCTTCAGTTGTTCAGTTATTTCGTACGTGTGACACCTATGATTTTAGGCAAAAGTTAATTGCGCAAACCTCTGATGGGGCTGCGGTCATGGCCGGCCATTTAAATGGTTTACAACCTAAAATAAAGTCCATAGCTCCTCATGCACTTTTTACGCATTGTCATGCCCATGCCCTAACTTTAGTATTAGGCAAAGCGTGCAACAACATAAAAATTTTCACGCTTCCAGCGGGCTCTTCTGTGTGTATATAGTCTATATGACTTTAGCCTCCCCTGTTCTCCAATGTACGAGCCGTCACTGTGCGAGACTAACCTCTGTCAGGTACATTGCATGAACGTCTGTCGGATATAACTCAATATCCAGCGTGGTATCAGCCGGGGAAGTAGTTGTTTTCCGACAGGCATTTACCAGAACCTATGGTGTAGGTAGTTGGGAGAGATGAATATTTCGATAAAAATATTACTTCTTGATATTTTTCAAAATAGTAAAAAAAATTAACAAACTCTTCAAATGGACAAGTTATGAAATAATAACCAGTTTTCACATGAGAAAACAGATTCCGAAGAGGTAAATAATTCAATAAAATCTAGTCATTCAGCAAACCGTTATTTTAACAATCTCGACACGTGTTTCGATCACCACGTGATCATCTTCACGAGGAAGATCAATCTTCCTTTCGCTGAATATTTAATTATATCCGACATACAGAGGTTAGTCTGGCAGTCTGACAAACAGAGGTTTCTAGGTGTCAACTCTCATCAGTACAGAAAACATATGCGAGACTAACCTCTGTGAGGTACCTTGCATGAACGTCTGTCGGATATAACCCAATATCCAGCGTGGTATCAGTCGGGGAAGTAGTTGTTTTCCGACAGGCATTTACCAGAACCTATGGTGTAGGTAGTTGGGAGAGATGAATATTTCGATAGAAATATTGCTTCTTGTATACTAGTTTTGGTATTTGTAGATAATTCAATGACAAAACAATCAAATGATTTTGATTTAAAGAGAATCAAAAGTCAAACTTTGATGAATTAATTACTTTTACATTCTCTAACTCTAAAGCCAACGGGGTTGCCTTTATTGTGTTAGTTATATTTGGTTTTTCTGAGTTCTCAGTGGAGTTTCGTCCAGTTGCTCAGTGAAATAAGGTGGGACCGATGTGTATATGGAAAACAAAACAAAAATATAAAAATGAACTTGGACGAAAGTTCTTAGGAAATATAATATACTTACCAAAAGCTTTAGCTATCGCGACATTTCCTAAAACAGCGATGACGGGAACCAATACAATCGAACTTCCTAAATCCGAGATCATACCACCAAAAGATACAGTGTGATTGTTCAAACTTGTCTGGAAAGGAGGTGGTTTGAATTCGGGCAGACCCGGTTTCACTTGACCAGTTACCAGGAATGGAGAACCTATACCCCTGGATTCATATAAGTAAGCCAAAAAACTGCAGAAGATCACAACAATGGCATTTCTTGAAGTCGAAGTCAGCCACAGGGTATATTTGAGGATGCTTTGATTTTTTGTGAGCTTTGTGTTTTTCTTGTGCAGACGAACGTCCTTCAATTTCTGAAAGCGAAAATGAAGAACAGAAGTATCAACTAGTTAAACTTTTAATTGTTCAAATGAACTATAATAATATTAATAATAATATATTTAATTTCGTTTTCTTCACTTACTCTTAATGACATCAGCACTACTATGCAAGACACACCCAGGCCGAGATCAGCCATTCTAGTTTCATGAATTTTATGTGAAACTTCAGTAATAGTTTCCAAGAAAGTAGATGCTTTTATTTTCAATCCGAGAAGGCTTTTCAACTGAGATGTACCTATTATCACAGATGTTGCTGATGTAAAACCAACCGTCACCGGTATAGATATAAAATCTATGAGAACACCTGAAATTTAGAACAGAAAAGAAATTTTTAGAAGCAATGCTTGACACTCAACTTGATTGAATACATATTTGAGGGGATAGTGAACGATCAATTATCCTGGTGTAGTGCGATAACTTTGGAGAATGTTCGTAAGGGTTCAATTGTTATACAGTGCATTTCTTTAATGTTTCCTCCCCTTTTATTTTTTGAACGACTCAACTCAAAAAATTGAAAGTTGGGATAATGAAATTAATGCATGGATACTTNGTTTTTTTTAAACCTTATTGCCCTGCAACATAAAGCAGTGGTTAAGAATTTGTTCTAACTATAATTTTTACATTGTTTGAAGTCCACACAACATTCAATATAAAGTGTAGTTTGAGACTCTAAACAATTCGCTGAAATTTCCAAAAAACATTTGAATAAAATGAATATTCCAACTATATACAACATTTGAATATCCCGCGTCCGTCACCATGGTACTGAAACAAATCTTCAGATGGCGCTTTTTTCCGTCTCTGTTGTTTAGAATTGCTGTGAACCGTCTAGGGTATATGGTCTGTGGCTTTTGTTCGTTAGATATAGACCATTTTTAGTTTTCGGCATTTTTATTATAGCATTTGTGCGTGATTCAAGTAAAGGTTAAGTATTACATTTTTATTTCAAAGTTGCTCTATTTTTTTTTCACGAATGAACTGGCCCCTATTGCACCAAATGCGGTATACATTTCGTGGCAATATCGACCAATAATTTGTTCAAATAGCTCATAAGACAAACGACGTAAATCGGGTAATGTCATCAGTACATGTGTTTCAGCTGCACATATTGTTTTTTCAGATGCCTAACAAGTACGTGAGAAAAACAAATATCGCTGGTTGGACCGAGGATACTTTACAGAAAGCTCTTGAGGCAATAGATTCTGGTAGAAAAATTCGAGAGGTTTACAGATCATTCAACATTCACGAAGCAACACTGATAGCGCACAGAAAGAACAACAACAGATCTGGTCCAAGACAAGGAAGACCCTCTATGAGGTTGAAACTCAAATGGCAAGTCACGTTCTTAAACTAGCTAAATTGTTTCATGGATTGACTCAGGTAGAGTTACGAAAACTTGTGTTTCAATATGCAGAAGCCAATAATGGCATACGATACGATTTTAATAAAACTCGCCAAGAAGCAGGCAAGGATTGGCTGCGACTATTTCTCGAGAGAAACCCCCAAATTATACTAAAATAACCTGAAGGAACAAGTGTCAATAGAATTACTGCTTTCAATGAAGAATCCGTTAAAACTTTGTTTTCCTATTTAGCATCTTCATTAGAAAAATTTAAATTTGGTCCAAGCAGAATCTTCAATGTTGACGAGATTGAGATTTCAACTGTTCAGAAGCCAACTAAGCAACTGGGACTAAAAGGCGTAAAACAATTTGGAAAAAAATATCTTGGGAACGTAGAAAGAACGTAACTGCCATATGAGTGCTTCTGGGACTCCTAATATTTCCTCGGAAACGAATGTCTCCGACATTGACGAAAAATGGACCACTAGAAGCGACGAAAAATGTTTTGTTCAGTGGGTACAGCATTTTAAATTGTATGTAAATTCAAGTAAAGCAAACCGTGTTCTCCTGGTGCTCGACAAGCATTATAGCCATATATCCATTCCAATTTATAAGTATTGCAAAGATAATGGAATTGGTATATCAATACCGCCACATACCTCCCACCGTTTATAACCTCTCGATACTTCGTTTTTCGGCTCATTCAAATGCGCTTTCAAACTTGTCTGGAGTAATGTGGTGGTGCTCCATCTTGTTTGAATACAATATCTATATCGAATTCATTAGGAGTCGCTTCGACAATTTCAGTGATGAGAGGGTCAACAGTAGTTTTCAGCATATTCAAATACAGTTCCCCTGTTGAATTTTGATCAATAAATAGAGGTCCTTCAATATGGTTTCCAATATTTCTGCCCAAACCTTATTTTTTTCTGGATATTGGGTATGTGTTTCCCGGAAAACGTGAGGGTTGGTGTCACTCCTCCAATAACGACATGTACATTCGGCACTAAAACAAATACCTATTGTAAAGATAGGTAGGATGCCTTGCAATGGTTTCCGTCATGATTTCGCAGAATTCTGTTCCTCGATCAGGGTCATCTTCAGTTAATTGGTGTACCATTTTAATTTTGTATGGATGATACCTATTCCTCTTCAAAAGTCTCCACACAGTAGAAGGAGACACCTCACAACCATTCGCGACGGAATAAGTAGACTGTTCAGAGTTTACTACCATCTCATAAATTATTTGCATTTGCTGTTCTTCCGGAATGGACGGATGACCTGGGGAATTTTTGTTATGTATCCTACCGGTAGGTGTGAATTTGGATACAAATTTCCTCAAATATTTTCTACAGATAGGACGATTCGGAAAACGTTCATTGAAAATCCTTTCGATCTCGTGAAAGTAACGCGTCGCACCGTAAATAAAAATCGCTTCAATTTTTGCTTCCAATGGACGAGATATGACCATTTTAGGGATTGTTGACGTGGTACCTTTTTATTAGTAAAACCGAAAACTAAATGAGAATATTCTAACTGATGTTCATTGTCGTACTGACATTTTTTGGCGTTTTTATAAACAAAAAATAACTTAACAAACCTTATCGGGTTGTTGGAATTGTCATATGGCAGATAAAAAGGACTATTTCTAGAAATATCGATATTAATGTGTTTGTCTTCAGAAAATTATCGAATATTCCGCCATTTTGTAGTAGGTGAAGATATTGACTTCATATTCTAGAGTTATGAAGTATTCGTCAGGAGCTCCAAAATGATGTGTCACAAGACCCCCTTTCCATTTATTTTTTTTCCCTAGATAACGCCCAGTCACCATTTTGAAAGTTTCATCTGTCAATTCAACTTTAAATAAAGTATTCATGCATTAATTCCATTATCCCAAATTTCAATTTTTTGAGTGGACCTATTCAAAAAATAAAGGGGGGGGGGCATTAAAGAAATGCACTGTATAAAAGTGCTATGCAGTCGCACAAATGGCAGATTCTATTCCGTAAGTGTAGCGTTTCAAACCGAAATTGGATTTCAATTAATAAATTACTTTCATGGTATCTAGTTGAGGTATTATTCTTTTTGACGATTTCTCGCGAAGTGCGGAGAATAAAAATGGAAAGCACGAGCAAGAATTTTAGTTACTCACCTAGATGTAAAACTGCCATCACTATCTGAACTATGCCTGACAGAAAACAGAGGAGAATAGCGTAATCTACATTTCTGTCTATCACTTGCTGGTATGTCATCAAAGCCATTAGTGCTGTAGGTCCTATGGTGATGTCCTTGATGCTACCAAACATGGTGTAAACGAAGCATCCGATGAAAGATGAATAGAGCCCATACTGTAATTTATTCAGTACATATATTACGATGTCATGGAATTGGCCGACATTTGATGAAAATCCATAATGCGAGTACGAATTCTAGTAAAATTTCATTTTTAGATGTTCACTAAACCGCAACACGTGTTTCGCTATACAATAGCGAAGCTGGGGTGTGTTCATACCGAGTGAATTCTACCTAATTAGTGCTTTATATAATATGACAATTCGAATCATATGAACTTCTTCCTTCTCAATGACTAATAATTTCACCAGAGTTTCGATAGGTAGGTTGTTTCAAAAGTTTTGTCCGTCGAAGTTCTGCTTCACCCACCATATTCCCCAGACCTTTCTCCAACCGACATAAAAACGCTCGAGAAAGCTATTGCGTAGTGAAACACCGTAGTTGCGGTTTTGAAAACTGTCCAGCAAACCATCAGAATTCTTGAAGCTATTAATTTCTGAGCACTCCGAAAGATTGTGTTTTGGAACTTTCTCTTCTCTAATGCGTCATAGTCGTGGTTAGACTTATGCCCCCTGTCAAAAGTTGGTTTGCAAATGTGGAATTGGTCTTCACAACTAAGAATCTACTCCTATGGTCTATCATTTATTAGGATAAGTTTTCCCCGGTTGGCCGATATACAGTTTTGAGGAAGAACCATAACTCAACTTATTAACTCCTGATTTATTGTCAATGTCCTATGGAACTTTCTATCGTTTCTAAAATTGCTATAGACCTTGGTCTATATACAATAAAAAGATGGTTGGAGAAAATATGGATCCCTGGGAAACACAGCGTTAATGGTGAAAGTTTTGGAGCGATATCCATCGACGATTTGAGAAAGCCAGAAGAAACCATTAGGGTCCGGGCAGAAGGCCACTGACTCAAGTCAGTGAAAGAGGCCGTCGATATCAAGAAGTTGGGAATAAAGATAAAGGCTCTGAAAAGCAAGGAAAGGGGGATCACCTACTCACAGTTAGCGGAGGAATGGAAGACGCCAGTAAACTAAAGGAGGAGATATTCAACAAGGTCACAGACGTACAAGTCCACGCAAAAAAATCCGAGATCATCATATACGTATATATCCAAAATTGACGTAGCGACCGACGAGGACGCGGTAAAAATGGGCATTGAAGAGGAGTTGGGGCTTAACGGAGCAGTCAGCGTAAAAGGCATGAAACCAATAAGGACAGGTAATTACACAGCCGTGATTGAATTTCCTAAAGATGCAGCAACGAGGCTGATAAGGAAAGGGGAGATTGAGATAGGATGGATACCATGCCGAATATGGGAGAGGTTTCCAGTAATTTGGTGTTTCAACTGCTTAGCCTTCGGGCATAGGTCTAAAGAATGTAATATTTCAACCAAAAGCGACGAGTGTCTCAAATGTGGACAAACAGGCCACAAAGCAAAGGAATGCCCAAATAGCCCTCACTGCAAGGAATGTCACGAAAAGGGCAGAAACGCCAGAATTAAATTCAACACACCTGGGACGAAGAAAGGCCGCGTACGACATGGCCTTTGCTACGGCGAAGAAAAACGACTCTGACCTGCTAATCGTAAGCGAGCCCAACAAAAACACACCAAAGGGCTTGGAGTGGATGAAGGATAACAACCATGACGTAGCAGTGCTTTTACTGAACTGAAAAATAGAAATCCAAAAAGTCAAGGCCTACGAAAGCTTCATTTCTATCAAGACAAAGGGACTGACAGTAATCTACTGTTACATCTCTCTAAACATTCCCATTGGAATCTACAAGAAAAAGGTGAGTGACATCATAGAAGTCGAAAGGAGAACAAGAAAACGATGCATCATCCTGGGAGATATAAATGCCAAATCCGTTCTGTGGGGCCCTCCGGTCTCTGACCCCAGGGCCAGGGGAGACTACTGGGCAGAATGGCTCGCGGCGCTGGAAATGGTAGTGATGAACACGGGCCTGGAACCTACCTTCACATGGGGGGAAAGCCGATCATACATAGATGTCACTTGCTGCAACCAGGACGTGGCCCTGGGGGTTGGAGAGTGGAGGGTCCTCACGGAGGAAAGCCTCAGTGACCATCAATTTATTCAGTTCTCCGTTGAAGTAATAGGAGTAGTGGATAAACATATTCGGACAAAGGTGGATTATGACTGGGAATGTTTTAAAACACTACTGAAATGGACATTGGAATTAGCTCCAGAAGACATACAAAATGGGGCATCCGGGTGCCAGGCGACCATAAAGGAGATACTGAAGGCAAGCCTTAGGCAAAGCACTGGCGAAAGAACTGAGAATCCGTACTGGTGGAATGATGAGGTCCAAGCGAAACGGGAAGAAAGCATCATTCTTTCATGAAGCTGGAGAGCCATCTACAGAAATGATCCCACAAGCCATAGTATCGAAGTTTGTCAAAGGCCTTAGAAATATCAAGCGCAACAGCTCTTGATTCTCCATGTTTCTCGATTGTGTTATTCCAAATATGGGTGATATACGATAGAAGGTCGCCTCCTGTTGATCTTTGTTTCCGAAACCCATATTGATGATCGCTCAAGATGTTGAAGCCTTCCTAGTATTTGAGGATATGGTGGTTTACGACTTTCTCCATAATTATTGATATCACTGATAGCAAAGCGACTGGTCTATAGTTATTTGGAAGATTTTTCTTGCCTTTTATTGGGAATAGGCTGAACGCGAGCATTCTTCCAACAAGAAGGAAAATCCCCTTTCTTGTAAGACAAGTTGAAAAGTCTGCAAAATACTGGTGCGAGTTCATTTGCGCACTTTTTAAGTACGATGACGGGCACTTCATCAGGGCCAGACGCCTTGTTGATATTGAGCTGTCGCTAGACGCCGTCGAAAAGTAATTTCCGGCATTGTGGATTCTAGTGTGGGAATAGTGGGTAGTACCTTTCCCAGAGAATCGATCGTGGAGTGGGACGCAAATTGTTCAGCTAGTAGATTTGCTTTTTCTATGGCTGTTGTTGCAATTGAACCATCCGCTTGTGTTAGTGGTGAAATTGTAGATTTTGTAAAGTTCCGATTAACAGCTTTAGCTACCGACCAGAAGGATCTTGACCCGTTGGGATTGACAAGCAAACTTCAACCAAAGGGGTTTATAGTCTTAATGTCGGGATTTATATCGAAATTGAGACTTCAAACCCGAAATTTTCCAGTTTTACCCCAAACGTTTGAGATCAACTTTGAAATTTTGACTTTGAAGTCGCAATATCTAGATCAGTGATTCCCAAAGTGGTCTAGATGGACTCCCAGGGGTCCACGAGAAACTCGACGGGGGTCTATGTTGGCGTGATTTCGTTTAGTTAATAACTGAAAACTTGGCAGAACTTCACCTATTAAAAAGCTTAGCGACTATTACATTTAAAAACTTGCAAATACCATATAGCATTTCCTTAATAGCACAATCAAACAATCAATTGATTAATTAACCAATCAATTCTCAGTTTTTATTCGAAAACTGTTAATTTGTGGTTGGAACGTAGCCACGACGCAAATTTTCATAGTTAGATCTATAACATATAACATTGGCATTAGAGGGTTCCTTCTGGAATGGATAAAATATTTGATGTGAGATAGGAAAATGGTAGTGACTGTGAATAATGCAGTATTTGACAATGCAGTATTTGATATTCAAGATATTATCCTTGGGGTATCACAGGGATCCATTTTAGGCCCACTGCTTTTCTCTATCTATATAAATGATTTTCCGAAGTATATAAAACAAGGTTTCATTATCCTATTCGCAGATGACACTACCATAACAGCTTCCAGAAATACTGCGGAGAAGCTAGAAAATAACATTAATTCAGTCATGGATGACATGATTTCTTGATGTGATATAAATCAACTAAAACTGAATGAAAGTAAAACAGTACATTTAAGCTTCGCGTTAAGGATAACAGTGAAATTCAACAACATCCAACTATCGTAAACAGCCAAACTCCTTGGTATGTTCATAGATAAAACCTTGTCTTGGGAGCCCCGTATCGATCATGTATGCAAAAAATTGAATCAAGCGTTATTTGCAATACGACAGATCAAAGAAGTGCTATGTTCAGATAGTATCGGAACTGTTTACTATTCATTGGCATATTCATATATGGCTCAAAATGTGGGGTTCTTCTGTGGGGGCAAAACATGTTTTTATTGTTCAAAAGAGAATAATTAGAACTATTTTTAATATTGCACCCAGGGATAGCTGCAGACCTGATTTCTGCAAGAACAAGATGCTAACGTTACCGTGTATCTATATATATAAAGCTCTGCTCTGTGTGAAAAATAATGTACCCAATCTGAGAGATGAATCAATAGTTCATAACTATGCAACACAACATATTATACCATTTAAAAAACAAATAAAGGAGCTATTGACTAATAAGGGATATTGAAGCGTAGAATTCTTAGAACGGGATACACTGTTATCATGATAATTGCTTTCACTGCATTTCTTTCATCCTAGTTAAAGATAAATTTACATATAGTTGTATGTGTATGTGTGTTTGTTTTATTTTTTATATATGTATATAGTTAAGTAGGTACCTGTCTTAAGTGTCCGATCTATGTTATACTGTGGACCGTTATTATTTTTTTATATAATTTTTACATTTTTTATTTATGACATGTCTTATATCATGTAAATGATCGAAAAGACGAATAAAGTTATTATTATTATAATCTTCACATTTCCTGTCGAGTTTTAGGAATGTGTTAGAAATGTAGCTGCATGGGGTCCACAAATAAAATTTTGACAGTAGCCTATGACTGAAAAAAGTTTGGGAATCTCTGATATAAATTTTTGAAATCAAAATCAAAATTTCCTGTTTTCAACTCCATAATTCCATATAATCCAATCAAAAAGGCTGCCTTTGAAAAGTGTGCCCCCCTGCTGAATAAAATAAAACTATTTCTGATGAATATGAACTGGTGAAAATTTGGCAGAATTAATTCCAGCATAGAAACATAAAAAATTCTAGTATGCAAGAAATATTTAATCTCTTACCTCAAACATGCCGGAAACTTAAAATATACATATGCATACCTGGGGTTCAAGTCCTGCTAGAGTGGCGTACGCCAATGCCTGCGGCATAACAGTCAGCCCGACCGTGAAACCTGCTATCAAATCGCTTATCAATTTCCGGCCGTCGTATTCTCGGCCCCATGTCAAGATTGGAATTCGGTGCGCTACTAGGTTACCCAATTTTTTCGCAAACGACATCCTGGACTCCTCATAAGGTTGTGTAAACCTGCAAATAGAAAGAAAAAGCACGTGTATGGCCAGTCGATCATTGGCAACTTAGGCTAGCCACACACTAACAACTTTTTAGTCGCGGTGATTGAATTCGCCCGTTGTTGTTGCAAGCGCCCACCACCAACTGATAGTTTCAAATTGGATTTCGTCGAGATCGAAACCGTTTATCTTGTTCTAAGGAAGATGAAATATACAGTACGTGGCTGATTTTCACATCCCTGAAGTATATAATGTGTTCCAGACTTATGCCGTCAGTTGAAGGTGGTGCACGTGAAAATTTTGGAGGGGAGAAAACAACAACCCAAGTGAGAAGGGGTGATTTGCCAAAAATCCTTGTACGTCTCTTGCATTTAATAGAGTTGAAATTACCAAATAATGAAGAATTAAAAGAACAATTCAAATTAAAGAAATACGAGTATTAACAACTACTTATTAATAGGAAAAGCAAGTGGCGCTGAATAATATTCGCGAGTCCTCTAATAGACCAAAAACTATTTGGGAGCACATCAACACCAATACAGGAAGGGAACCTAAAAAAAGACAACTACGACGATATCTCCCGAAGAATTTAACAATTACTTTGTGAATATTGTAAATGAAATAATCAATGAAATTCCACCTTCGAAAGGTAATTTCTCGACACATCTGGGTAAATCCCCTACTACCGTAAATGGAAATTCACTTCCAAATTCACTATTCTCCAACAGAAGAAGAAATAACTGATATAATAAAATCATTCAAGAATGACTGACATCTACAACCACTCAGTGTGTATGTATTAAGAAAACCTAGATGCATTACTAAAACCAATTACTCAGATAATAAATAATATATTAACAACTGGAATATTTCCGGATAAATTAAAAATATTCAGGAGATACAACATCGATATCAAACCACAGACCAATTGCATTGGTCCCCATTTTGAGTAAAATTCTGAAAAAATAATTGCAATACGAATAGCCTCATTTTTAGAACAAAATAACTTATTCACGAGTTCGCAGTTTGGATTTAGAAAGCCAATTTCATAGGAGAGGGATTCGAAGACAAAGTATCAACCTTGGCAGTATTTGTTGATCTGAGTAAAGCTTTCGATTGTGTCTCAAAAAATATTTTACTCGAAAAGCAGGAATACTATGGTCTCAGAGGTATATCTCTTGATTTGATGCGATCTTATATGACAAATCGAACACAATCTGTGTACCATGACAATAAATTCAATAAACAATCCCCAATGAAATATGGGGATGAATACTGCCACAAGGCAGTATTCTTGGACCCTTGCGGTTTCTTATATAAAGGGGTTTTCAATTGGCGCGGGTAGATTTTGGCGCCCCGTGGCGGCCATTTTGTTTTGGTGACATCTGTCAAATCTTTTGTTTATTAGTTGCTTATGCCAAATCATCATGGCAAGTTACACGATTAAACAGCACGTTCAAATGATAAAACTGTATTATCAAAATGAGTGTTCGTTAACGCAAACGTTGCGCGCATTGCGCCCATTTTACGGTAGACGTGGTGGCCCTTCACAGTCGACTCTTCAACGTTTGGTGGCCAAATTTGAGACGACCGGTTCAGTAAATAATCAGCTAACACCCGTACGTTCAAGGAACGCAAGATCGGCCGAGAACATCGCCGCGGTCCGTGAAAGTGTACAGCAGAACCCGAGGCAGTCTCTTCCTCGCCGTGCACAAGAACTCGGTCTTTCGTAGACTTCAACTTGGCGAATTTTGCGTCGGGACTTGGGCCTACACCCGTACAAGATCCAACTGACCCAGGAGCTCAAAGTTCATGACCATAGACAACGCCGTTTGTTCGCTGACTGGGCTTCTAATCGTTTGGAAGAGGACCCCAATTTTGGCAGAAAAATCATCTTTAGTGACGAGGCGCATTTTTGGATGAATTGCTTTGTTAACAAGCAAAATTGTCGTATATTGGCCGACACCAACCCACGCGAGGTTCACCAGGTGATAATGCATCCTCAAAAAGTTACCGTTTGGTGTGGATTTTGGGTCGGCGGCGTAATTGGTCCGTACTTTTTTGAAAAAGACGTTAGTGAGGTGGTCACCGTCAACAGCGAGCGCTACAGAACGATGATAACTAATTTCTTATGGCCCAAATTGAACCATATGGACCTAGACGACATGTAGTTCCAGCAGGACGGCGCTACATACCACACAGCAAACGCCACGATTGACATTTTGCATGAACGATTTGAGGGTAAGGTTATTTCTCGCAAGGGTGATGTGAATTGGCCACTAAGGTCATGCGATTTGACCTCGCTAGACATTTTCCTGTGGGGTTTCTTGAAGTCGCAGGTCTATGCAAATAAACCACAATCGACCGATGCCCTAAAGGTGAACATAACAAAGGCCATCGCTCAAATTCAGCCGGATCTATGCGGAAAAGTCATTGAAAATTGGACCACTCGGATCCGGGCCACCGTAAGAAGCCGAGGCGGGCATTTGAATGATGTCATATTCCACACTTAATGGCATACATGCGCCTTTCAAATTAAGAAAATAATTTTGTTAATACCTCACACACAGCTTGTTTTATTCCATTTCAACATCTACCCGCCCTTATTGAAAAACCCTTCAAATAAACGATTTGCCCTCTTCAATTAATATGAAGACTTTCTTATATGCCGACAACACAACATTTTATACGAGGGTAAGACAAAGAGAGGAAACCACCGTTATCCAGGACATAACTGAGTCAGCTAATGATTGGTTTAACGCAAATAAATTACAAATCAATAAAGCGAAAACAGCTTCTATGATATTCTTAAACCAAGGAAATGATGCTCAATCTTCAAAGATCATACGATGGTTTTCGTGAGACGTCTATTAATAGATCAAAATAGTTGCAAATGATTACGTTCGTAATGAGATGATCATAAAAATGATTCATAAATTTTGTCACTTTCATGACGTTCGTTTTTGTATGTTATATATACATTTTTTCATGATTAAAATATTTGGTACATATCTGTTTTCCTGCTGATTAATCAAAAACGTAAAAAACATAATATTTTATTTTCGTATTACAACAAACTGAAAATTAACGGACAATCAAAGACGAAAGTTATTATTACTTCAATATAACGTTATTTCGAATCCTTTTCGAAAACATCATTTCAGAGATGCAAGGAAGACCAATTATTTTGATCCTTTTTGAAATGATTTATAGATTATGTATTCAGAATTGAAATAACTGGTAAAATACTTAGCATCATAAGTATATTACGTGTCGGTTTATAATATATTAGAAATATAATGTTCCATTTCCGTATCATTACAAACAGATAATATTATGATAAAGTAAATATTTATAAGTGGAAGTTGTTAGTAATCCAAAATAACGTTTTTAGGCCATGTAAAAATCATCAATTTGGAAATGTTAAAAAGACCAATTATATTGATTTCTCAAGAAACAGCTTATATATTATGTGATTATGACCATCATCTGTGATATGTTTATTTTGAGATGTTATATGTACATTATTTTTATGGTTCAAATATAGTAATACTTATTGCATTGCAATAATGTGAGCAGATAAAAATACGTAGTTTTCAATTTAGAATTTTCATTTCCATAATAATAATGATAACAACAAAAGTAAACTAAACATTTGAAGAATCTAAAAAACTGAATAATTGATTTTAACTCACTAAGTTATATATTTTATATTCTTTTGCATTTCTTTTTTGGTATCTCTAATAACAACAATTGTGTGAATTTATCACATTTGCATATAGAGTTCACTTTTTCAAAAAAAAAATTTTTTTGTTTTCCTGTTGTTTGGTTAGGAAATTTATGAAATTATGAAAGCCGTACAACTTTTGGCAAACTACCTTCTCCACTTGAGTTATTGTTTTCACTTTCCCATAATATTTATGTTCACCACCCACAACTGACGTCATAAGGCTGAACCTCATGTTTCATTTCGGGACTGTGAAAATCATACGCTTCTCAGAGGTATCTATCAAAAGACCCCCGCGAAGGTTTGCGGTCTATTATTCCCGAATTCATTCCATTATTGTACAAACTTCCGACATAATTCACACCGCAACTTTTTTAGAATTTCCATCTTATTTCACAGACATGACCAAATTTTAACTGGAATATCAAGGGAGTTCATTCAATCCTCAGTGTAAGGAGGAAGGTATGAATATGTACGTTCTATTTTGCATGAATTGAGTCTTATGGAAAATCGAACGGCTAGCCCTAATCACCGATTCTAAAAAGTTACCAGTGTGCGACTAGCCTAAGGCTAGTCTTAGGCTAGTCCCACACTGGTAACTAAGGCTAGTCGCACTAGCTTGAGGATATATGAAAGATATTATGTTTACTCTGATATAATGCTTGACACGGATGTCCACTATAACAACAATAATAGTGGAGATTCCTAAAAAACTATTCGAAATGAAGCCATACAAAAACAATTATAGTAATAGTATTACAATAAATTACTAGAAATATATGTGTCTGAATAAGTTTTTGAAACGTTTACAACTAATTATAACTCACTTAATGACCAGTTTGAGTTAATTTCTTAAATTATTTCAAGCAATATTAACATCTGTTACCTGAAATTCAAATCGAATAACTTTGATGAATAGTTTTTAGTCAACATTTTCAATACGGATGTGTCATTTATATTCAAAACGAGAGACTACAAAGAATCAAAAGAATTTCGACCTTCACTTCCAAATGGGCTAAAAAACAATTCCATCGTTTCTTTGTCGCAGTTTTAAACATACGTACAGTTTATCGATAACAGCCTATATTCTCAAAATATTATTAATTCAATTGAATGATTTGGTTTGAAAAGTTTATGATACAAAAAAGCAATGAGTCTCAGCTTATTGCTGTTGTGCATGGGTTTGGGTCAAATAAAAAAAGCAAAAGTAACACAACTAATTGTTTAATTGAACAATGATTAGGCCACCCAAAAACAAAATTATGTTAACTGGAAAGTCTGAAATTCAT